GTTGCTCAATCAACTGCAGAAGCAGAGTATGTTGCAGCATCTGCTGCTGTAAACCAAGCTATTTGGTTGAGAAAGGTGTTAGTTGATCTGAATTTTCAGCAAGAAAATCCAACTAAAATACTTTGTGACAACAAATCAGCTGTTGCTATGGTTAAGAATCCAAAAATACTTTGTGACAACAAATCAGCTGTTGCCTATGGGTTAAGCAATCCAATCTTCCATGAAAAACCAAGCATATCAAATGCAGTACCATGCAATTCCGTGAAAGCTGAAAAGGGAAAATTGAAATATTTTGATTATTCATTGGCAGTTCTGAAAACCAACAAGCAGATATTTTCACAAGGCAGTGCAGAAAAACAAGATTTGAATTTCTTAGGAATAGATCTTGGTGTTTGTCTCAACTCTTGCATCAAGGAGGAGTGTTTAAAGTTACATGCACAGCTCCATGAAGAAATTGAAATGCAAGTGTTGTTGATAGTTTTGAAGTATTTTGTTAAAGTCATTTAGATTTTTGTTCAAGTCAAGAAGTAGGCGAACTACCTTGCTTTTAGGTAGGTTTGGTGAACAAACTTCTTTGACTTATGGAAGGTTGGTGAATAAACTTTAGAATAGCTTTAGTATAATTGTCTTCATTATGCTATAATGAATATAATGAGATGTGAATATTTGTTTTTCCATACTTACAGAATCTGCAGAATTTTCCTTCTCTTCCGTGAATATTTGTTTCTCCACACTTACAAAACCTGCAGATTTTCCTTCTCTGCAGAATTTTCCTTCTCTTTCTTATTTTTCTGCTCTTCTAAACCAACATCTATATTAGGTTTGTGCCTCAAGCTGTCTTAATAAATTCATGTCTCAAACTGTTTCCTAATAAATTCTGAATAAAGGAAGTGAGGCATATATCAGTCAACTACTCCTGTTGCTTTACAAGCATACTTTCTATAGAGAATGAGAGGTTCTTAATCTATCATTAACTCACTCTCAAAACTAGGAATAATTTTCTATTGTATTACTTTGTTCTTGCCTGCTGTTTTCTTGCTATCACTTCTGCAGAAGATTCTGTTGGCTATTATGCGAGTCTGTGCTGTCTTTTCCACACTACATAAGTGAGTTCAAGTCATTATCAATTTTACGATTCAGGCTTGAAATTCTTCCATTTTCTCTCTTATATGGTCACCTAATGCACTAGACAGTAGGTGACTCTCTGTTAAGCATTCTTGCATTGACTTATTGATCATTAAATTAATCCGGGCAGACTGGCAGTTCTAAGTCAGCAGTTTGCTTTTGTAATGATTAGAAAAAGGGGGTTACAACTTATTAAAGCTATATTGTAGAATTAGAAAATGTTTGCCTCTTTTTCTTTCATTATTTTTAAAGACTTTCTTTAATCTGTCAATGTCTTATCTCATATATACATTTGATCAAGGTAGTTTTTCTCAATATGCATATGATGGCATAGTTTATTATTCTACTTTGGGATCAAGCAAATTCAAATTGCATAAGAAGCCTGACAGACTTGTATTTGTCTCCTCTACGATCGTGTAATGGAACTGCTCGAATCCCAGTTCTTAACTCTGATATAGGCAAAGATGTTTGGCCGCCTAAGTCATTTTGTCCTGATGTGTCATACTCTTCAATCCTAAGCACAGCGAATTCAGGAACAGTCAATGGAAACTCAAACTCCTCGTTCCATTCTGGTAGCCAGTCATCTTCAATTACTTTTGTTTTTCGCATAGCCTTATCAGCAGGGACTCCAGCAATTGTTAACTGCAAACATTACATTTTTTTCCATGTTTATGTTCCCAAATTTTTATATTGTTTTTGGGAAGTCATTGATTGTTTAAAAATCTTACTTTGACAAGGAAGTCAGGAGGGGAATATAGATCAAAATGCGTGTGGCGAAAATCCAAATCCCATCCTTCTCCCATGAAGACTTTAACCTGTTGGAATGATGGTACTTTGAGAGGATATCAGTATTAAAGAAATGAAAACATGGAAGTTTAAAACACACAAATAATACTGCTAAAGTTTTCACCTTTAGTATTGTTCTCACATGTAATTGCGCATAAGGACAAAAAACGTCCTTGTTTGGACCATCATGCAACAAGATATCTGGTTTTTTCACATAACCACAGCCACCATTGGCTCTGAACTGGTTTTTTCACATAACCACAGCCACCATTGGCTCTGAACATTCCTTGCATAACCCAAAGGTGCTTTCCATAGCCCTGTAAAGGGTTAAAAAAAATAATAATAAAAAGAAAATGGTAAAGGAATCCATATGTACACACAACATGTATAAAAAGTGACAAGATAACATCAAATGTTTTCTAGTTGAAAGATGTTCATCAAATGTCCTATAGTGGAAAAAAGCCTTAAGCAGTACACTACCTGCATATTAAATGCAACCATTTGAGCCCCATGCGTCCACCCAACAAAGGGATTGTAGTTAGATGAATCAAGGCGAAGACACTTGGGATATACTCTAAGCAAATTCCGTTGAGTGAACCTAGAGTAGCCAATATTTGAGAGTTACTACAGTGAACAGTGATTTAACTGAGATAATAGGCTGACTATGATTGTATTTACCTGATAATTTCATTTCCAAGTGTTCTTACAGGATTTTCAAGTTCTTGTTCACTCAAGCTGAGACGTCTAACTTTGTTCGAATGAATGGTTAGCCAATTTTCTATTGGACCTTTTACTTTCCCTCCATGAATGGCAATTAAGTTCCTGTATTCAGGAACCGCCTTCTCCTCATCTTCGTCTGGAATGTGTTCTTCTTCGTATAGCCGATCCTGCTTCTCAGAAGAGGAGCAAGCAATTAACAAGGAAGATTAAAAGCAAGGGCAAATTTTTGTGTAGATATACCTTATCGTTAGTTTCAAGTTCACTTTTGAAAGTTCCTTTCTCGTCCTGCCATTGCTCGCTGTTTGATGATTTTCCTGACTTGTTTGGAGTTTGTTTTTCCTTGCTAGTTTCAGTTTCAAGATACTCTTTTGGTGGTCTAGTGGATATCATAACCTTATTCTTCAATGACTCTGGAGAAGGAAATTCTTCCATTTTATCTGATTCAGGACAGTACAGCATGCTTCCAAAAGTTCGAGAGACCATCTACAGCCCAAAAAAACAGATTTGGAGTTTGTTTTTCCTTGCTAGTTTCAGTTTCAAGATACTCTTTTGGTGGTCTAGTGGATATCATAACCTTATTCTTCAATGACTCTGGAGAAGGAAATTCTTCCATTTTATCTGATTCAGGACAGTACAGCATGCTTCCAAAAGTTCGAGAGACCATCTACAGCCCAAAAAAACAGATTTCGCTCAAACTAAAAAATATACACTCCAGACCATGCTAAATAGTTTTGAGAGGAATTTTTGGTCAAGCTCACCTCGGCTACCTTGGCCTGAAGATTTGGAGTTAGATGGTCTTCAAAAGTTATTACAACAGGATATTCAGATGCATGAAAGGCATTGTCTTTAATTGCCAATAAAAATTTTATCAGGTCCACTGGAGCAGCGATTGTTCTGCTTTACCAACAAAATTCGAAAATCAACATAATAAACATATATATATCACACAAAGAGACAAGATAAAGATTATTTATGGTTTGAAATAAATGAACATTAAGTTTTACCCTCCATGGTAAACTTTCACATCATCTTTCTTGGAATTTGGCCATAAATCTAATTCAATTACTCTCACACCTCTTCGTAGAGCATCTATAATGGGTTGAACACTACTGTGACTGCGGAGTTTATTTCCAGTCCAGTACGTGTTATGGCCAGTGAACATGAAATAATGAGCCAACGGAGCATTCATGTCATGGTGAACCTGCATTCAAACACATTTAGTCTTCACTTGTACTATTAGGAAATGGAAGATTAAAATCACCAAAAAGACAAGGAAAAACAAATACGAGAACAGCTACCCCTCGAGATGGAGAGAGAGCGCCATTAATGTCGCTCATAAGATATCGAAAGAAGGCTTCGAGATGGAGGCCCCTTCTTTGGAAGATGTTGAGATGCTTGAGGCTGTTAAAGATGGCTTGAGCATCTTCTTTTGTGGCATTATCTTCTCCTTGAACCTCAATCAGAAACCTTAGCAGGTCTTCAAGGGCCATGTTCCCATTTTGCGAGTATTTGTTGAAGAGGATTTTGACATCGCTTGGAGGTTCTAGCAACCTTAGCTTTAATATTCTCCTAAAACAGAAGCAGACCCTGGAAGACTCCTTGGACATCTGCTGTAATAAAGAAATGAAATGCTGATGATATTTGTTTATGTTTCCCTACGTTTATCTTCTTTTTTAAATGCAGAAAGAAAGAGAGAATGAACTTAAAAATGTTTATATATTCTCAAGAATGACGTCTTTCCAAAGTGAGAATCTGTATTTCTTCTAAATCTAGTTCTTGATATTGCTTATCTTTTGAAAGAATAAGAGAAGCGGACTCTTGCTTTGAACCTTTTTCTTGATAAAAAGGAAAGAGATTTCTTGCCATTGCCTTAAAGAAAAGGGTGGTGGGCGCAGAGGAGTGCATGGTTACCTTGTAAAGTCATAAAATAATAAATGTTGTTATTTATACCTTTCCTTTAGCTCACAGGTTGCGGCTGTACTAACATACCTCTCACTCTTCCTTTTGGAAGCATATATATAGACTAGATTGCAAAATGCTTGTTTATGGGTGGGCTAGACAGTTTTTGTGACAGGATAAAACTATTTTGATTTTCTGACTGTTTCTTTAGGTAAAAATTCGGTGGACCATGAGCGACCATGGCCTTGAACTTGAACTTGGAGTTTTATTATGGAGCGTCTGACTTGCATCCTTATGTTGAATTTGAATCATCATGGGCCTTGTAAGTTGGTGGGTTTATTATTTCTTTATTTTTTCAACGTAGGACATTTGTCCCTCACATTTCCAACAAAATATTTTCTGGCTTTGAACAAGATTATAGGTTACTGTTGGACAATGTAAGGGACAAAAGTCCCACGTTGACAAAGAGATAAAATATAAGAAGATCAAGCCTATTGATACACATCTTACAAAAGTCTAGTTAAAGGCTCAAGCATGTAATGAAGCCTATGAGTCCATTGTCCAGAAATTCCAACAGTTACAAACTTGCAAAATGTGTTCCATTTGATCTTCAAGTGAACAAGTGCTCATAGCAATTTTGCCTAATTGAATCCAAACAATCTTGGGAATTTCTACAGAAACTCAAAGCACATAAGAAGTCTTATTGAACTGATTTTATTTCCCTTGCGATCAAAGAGAGGGACTGCATGAATCCCTGGCCTCAATTGAGACACAGGCAAACAGGTTTGACCTGCAAAATCATTCTTCTCAGGTATTATACGGTCATGAACTTCAACACGAAGCAATGCCAGTTCTGGAACAGTTAATGGAAATATAAACTCTTCGTTCCAAATGGGCATCAAATTGTTCTCGCTTTTCTTTGTTTTCTTCATTGTCTTGTCAGGTGGGGCTCCTGCTATTCCAACCTAAGATATTCACCAGGAAACCTCCATTAAATACCAAACAGCCCAAGGCCATAAGAATTTTGGAAACTAGATATAGACAATCACCAACTCACTCTGATATAAAAATTTTGTGAGGAAAATAAAGCAAACTGTGCTCTCTTAAAGTCTAAATACCATCCATCTCCCATATAAACTTTGACCTGCATCAAAAAGGCATAGTAAGAGCACACTACAAAAAGGCTAATTTTAAGCTAAACACTAAAATTAATACTCACCTTTAAAGTTTTTTTCACTGGCAACTTCGCTTTAGGATCAAATACCTGATTTTCTGGACCCATCGTCATCAGAAAATCAGGCTTTTTGACATAGCCACACCCTCCATTCGATCTGAACATCCCATGCATCAACCAAAGAGACTTACCATATCCCTATTTATCATTAACAGAAAGCTTGTTATTTCTGTCTGAGAACTTAGAAATTACTGTGACAGGAAATTAAACAAGGAACAGGTCCCGAAGTCAAAACCTGCATGTTCAGTGCAACCATTTGAGCTCCGTGCAACCAACCATTCATCGGCTTGTAGTTTGAGGAGTCAATCCGAATACCGTTAGGATATATCCTCAAAATGTTCTTCTGAGTAAACCTGAAGATAATGATGCTTGCATTGGATTAATTTGGTCTAGAAGATCATAAATAGTACTTGAAAAAGCAGTAATGGTCAGTTGGTCAATGTTTGATGCATATATAAATACCTTACAACATCTGTCCCATGGGTTGCAATAACCTTTTCAAACTTTTGCTCTTTCAAGCTAACTCGTCCAACATTATCAAAATCAACCTTTAGTGCCTCTTTTAACCCACCCTTTGGCTTTCGAGCATTAATGGAAATTAGATGCCTGTATGCAGGTGCTTCTCGAGGGCGTAGTTCCTGTTCATTCTGATTCTGTTCGCTCGTATTTCCACGGCTCTGAAAGAGGCCAATCAAGCAAAAAGTTGAACCATATATTTAAATAGTAGACTTTCGATAAACTAAGTAAATCAAAGAGTTGCAACACACCGTTCCATCATCTTCAGAATAAGCTGAAAGTTCTGCCCATATATGTTCACTAAAATCTTTTTCTTTCGACGAATTTATTCCCTTTTCCTTCATACTTTTAACTTCATGCCCCCCTTTCTCTTTTGGAAGTTTTGTAGATATTATGATCTTATATTTCAGTTCCTCTGGTGAAGGGAATTCTTTCAAGCATTCAGTTTCAGGATAAAACAGCAACTCTCCAAAGGTCTCAGCAATCATCTACCAGAACGGAAGATTCGTGATAATTAGTCTATAATTATAGATTAAAATATCGATTTCAATATTCATAGAAATTAATTAATAAGTACCTGAGCAGCTTTAGCTTGAAGATTCTCAGTAAGGTGGTCTTCAAGAGTTATTATCACAGGGTATGGAGATGCAGAGAAGGCATGCTTCCTAATGGATTTCAAGCACTGAATTAGCTCCACAGGAGTTGTAAAGGTCCTACATTTACAAGTTGCAACAAAATTCAGCAACGGGAAAAAAAAAAAAAAATCACCAGAGAAGAACTAAATATTGCATACCTTCCATGAAGAACATCTACATCATCTTTTGCCGAATTCGGCCACACATCAAGTTCTACTGCTCTCACACCTCTCTTTAGTGCCTTTTCAATAGGAATATCACTGCATACATCATCTTTTGCCGAATTCGGCCACACATCAAGTTCTACTGCTCTCACACCTCTCTTTAGTGCCTTTTCAATAGGAATATCACTGCAATCACTACTTAGTTGGTTGCCTGTTAAATATGAATTGTGGCCAGTGTATATGAAATAATGGGACAAAGGTGCTGTCATATCTTGCTCAACCTGAATGTAAATGGGGTTAAAAAAAAAGAAAGAAGAAGAACATTAGCACTAAGGTACAGAAACAATAAAGTGATGTCCAAACTCAAACACTAGGAGAAGATGTGAAAATCCAGACCTGATTAGCAATAGGTGGGTTGAGATCTGTTGAGAAAAGGAAATGGTGAAAGTCATCAAGAGTGAGACAGCTTCTCATACACTTGGTAATATGACGTCTCTTTTGCAAAACCTGATCTACTATGAGCTCTGCTTCGGCGACTGAAGCACCAACATCACCCTGAACTTCAACCAAGAACCGCTGAAGCTGCTCTGCTGTCATGTATGCATTGCCTTCTGTATACTTGAGGAATGCTTTCTTCACATCTGATGGTGGCCCTGTCTCCATTATTCAAAAACTCCCACTAAAGCACATTCTCATCTTTTTCCTGCTAAAATGCAAAGATCAAGAAATGTAAATGTTGCCTCTTTAATTAGTTGTACTAGTTTTGATGTTCAAATCTTTTACATACTTTTCTGAGTTCTTGGTTTTTATGTATGTGGGTCCAAAGTTGATGCACCACTGAAAGTAAACAGAATCATCAATAAATATCAGCCCTTTCACATTTGGTTTTAACGGTTGCTTTTACTTCTTGTGGTGATAATGGTAATCTTTTGGGTGTCACCGTAGTTTTTCAGATGAGAAGTTTCTAGACGCTGAATTATAAATCATGTGGAATCTCAAATCTGTATGCAGAGGAGAAAAAAAAAAGTAGAAAAAGAAAGAAAAGAAAAGGAAAGACACCACATAATGAAGACAGATTGGCTTCTAATCGTAGAAATTGCATATACAGATGTTAGTAAAATTGCATCTTTTATTTTTATTTATTTAGTGTAAAATTCAAGTAATAAATTCGATTTAAGAGACAGGATTACCTTAAATATGTTGATGGACATATTCTTCCCACCCATTTAATTACAAGAAAAGTCAAAAAAAAAAAAAAAAAAAAAAAAAAAAAAAAAAAAAAAAAAAAAGACTCCAATTCCCATAACACAACCTTAGGATTACCTTAAATATAAATCTAAATACAAATGAAAAAAACAAAAACATAACTGAAGAAGAACCAAATCGCTCAGTTTACACATAATGTTCTTTCAAAAGGGATTAGAAAAGAATTATTCATTTCAGAAATTGTCATTTTCTATATGAATATATTTCTCTTCAAAGTTCTTCAAGATAAGGTCTATGTGTGACCAAATGCAGAATAATTGAAGGCCCCACTTGCATTCACGTAATTTGAAAGTTCCTTGTCCCTATTCTGTTAGTCATCCCTCGTTTTATTCACTCTCGTTTCATTTACTCAATCTGTTTTAAAATATAAGTCCATTAAAAAAAAAATTAATTTCCTTAAATTATAGTAAAATCAAGAATAATTTTATTAAATTACCTTTTTATGTCAAAATCATAGGTTGTTCTTATATTTAATAAAAATAAGGAGAAAATGTCATTTATTACTTCTTATAATAATCAAAACATATTATATCTTGAGACAAAACAATCACCCTAAAACAACTTATATTTTATATTACGAAAGGATTATTTATTTATTTATTATAAATTACTCCACATAACATCAACCTCACACCATATAATAGAATATTTGCTTTGGAAGGTCAGGTAAGCATAACTCGTAACTTGCCTTTCAGGGTCCATTCATGTCAGTATTTTCTTTTTCTTTTTCTTTTTCTTTTTTTTTTTCACTGTTTCTGTCATTTATAACTCTGTTGATCGTTTAAGAATAAGGGGAAAAAAAAAAGGGGGGGATTTATAACAAGAACAATGATAACCTCTAATATTTGCACCCGTGAAAAGAAAAGAAAAAACAAGCCTGAGTACGACCAAAGATGAGAAATTAAAAACATATATAAGAAAGGACGAGTTATATTTATGTTTATATAGAAAAAAAAAAAAAAAAAAAAAAAAAAAAAAAAAAAAAATTAGGGAAAAAATATGTTCAAAGGAGGACTAAAAGTGCTTTTGGGTTTCATTGCGCGATTTCACCACCTTGGAAAAATCCAGGCACGGAGTTATAGCCATTGATTGAAAAAACAATCAAAGTCCAAGGGAACACTTATTGTGGGGAAAAAAATCGCTATTTTCCACGGGCCCTTTCGGATCGCTTTCAAGCCATAAGAAACAATATGAGAATAAATAATGCAACTAAAGAAATATAAAGAAAGAAGAACAAATGAGAAAATAAAATAATGACTAAGAAATTAAAGAGAATAAATAACACGATAGTTTAACGTGGAAAACTCTCCAAGTGGAGAAAAACCATGACCGTTGCCAAACGACAATTAAGAAAAATATTCACTATACGGCAAATTGTTACAACCACAATTACAAAATATTTTTCTATCCGACACCCTCAAAACACCCTAAATATTTTATACTCCAAGCGACTCCAAGAGATTTGCTCTAAATCCCTAATATAAAACACATTCAAGTGATTTTGGTGTGTTTAGAAAGCTAAATATTAGCTTCCTTTTATAACCAAACTTACCACCCTCTTTTGCTCATCTCCCCAATGTGGGATTGAGCAAAACCTTTTTTTTTTTTTTTTTTTTTTAATTTTTGTTTTCAAACCCAAAAGGCGAGCTAAACAAATCTCCCACCTTGAAAATAAAATACAAAAAAAACACAACATTTCTTATCGTCAAGAATATTATCATTACCTCCACCCATAAAAAGTATCGCCACTTGGGAAAAACAAACTCTTACCCCAACTCCATAAAGAATCCATCGGCCACTTGCTCGAATCCGCATAATAGTTTATATTGGGCAAACCCTCCTGTGACTTTTCTAAATAGTTCATTAAAGCCACGACATTTAATTTTATTTTCCAAATCCACACACTTGCATTCAACTACTTCAACGAATAGCCGTTGCCCATTTCGACATTGGGACCAGCTACCAATAATCCGGTCCTCTTCCATGGCATAACTCTACACGGGGGCGGTATTTAGCCAATCATCCATTGAGGGGGATCAACAAAATCTCTTCAATTACGAGAGCATTCATATCATTTCTCCCTCGCCACAGCATGGATTTACATTGGCAAGCAAACAACAGTTAGAGCTTCTAGCCGAATCAGCTCCAATCCGTCGCGCAATCCTTCCTCACGTGGTCCTAGTTGAAACCACAACCCCAGCAGGACCAAAACCTTTCCTTCTTTCCGGAAGCTTTTATTCTTTTTCCTAATGTGCATTTACCGACAGATAAAAGCTGGAAAGCTGAATCCTCATATGATTTATTTTTCATTTCATTCAGTCTTCTCTCCTCAGTAATGAGCTTACTAACCACATCCGCATACACCACTTCCTTACTATCATATTTCAGAATAGGTTTCATATGCTCATATGTCGAATGAAGTGACAGGATGAGTCGGAGAGCTTTATCTTCATCTTCGGTTTGCACTCCAAGAGTTTCTAATTCAGAGACGATGCCGTTAATAACACTCAGGTGATCTGACAGCTTTGTACCTTCCGCCATTTTCAATGTATGAAATTGCTCCTTCACCACCAGTACTCAAGCACACCGAAGCAAAGCTCCACCCGCTTCAAGACTTCCAAAACTCCACCTGCTTTTAAAATAAAATAATTTCTAATAACAGTATTTCTGATGTGGAAGATCAGAATAAAATTAATTTTCTAATAAAACCAGTAATTTCTAGATGTGGAAGATTCAGGACTAATCCGAAACCAAACAAGTCCATACTTATAATTTTAATATTACAAGAAATTATTTTAAACAACTAAAAAGCCTTGCCTAAAACCAAAAATTAGATGGCCTGATACCCACTTGTGGGAAAAATCACTATTTTTTCCGCCTTTCGGATCGGTTCAAAGCAGGAACAAATGAGAAAATTTAAAAAATAATGACTGAGAGAAAATTAAAGAGAATAAATAACACATAGTTTTTAACGCTAAAAACTTCCCCAATGTGGGAAAAAAAAAAACCACGCGCCGTTTAGCAAAACGACAATCAAGATAAAAAATATTTTCACTATTGCGGCTAAAATTTTCAAACACAACAATTACAAAAATATTTTTCTACCCTGAGGAGGCGACCTCCAAAACACCCAAATTATTTTTATTACTTACAATGGGACTCCATAAGAGGGACTTGCGCTCTAATCCCTTAAATAAAACAACATTCAAGTGTATTTTGGTGTTTGTGTGTTTAGAAAGCCTAAACATTAGCTTCCCTTTATAAAGCCCAACCTTTTACCCACCCTTTCTTTTAGCTTACAAATCTCTTCCCAATGTGGCATAGCCAAAAAACTTTTTTATTTTTTATATTTGATTTTTTTTTTTATTTGTTTTCAACAAAGGCTGCTAACACATATTCCATTTAAAAAAAAAAAAAAGCATGCAATATCTATCAGAGATAATGAGGAACACTTACTCCTTAGGCAAATCGTTTTCGGTATCTTTGTAAATAACAGATTTTGTCACAATTATTCCATCAAAGTGCAACTTAATTTTAGAATTTTGTCCTCTTCTGCATCTCTCACAACAAAAAAAAACGGCATTTTGCGTCTCTCACTAAAAAAAACACAAGACATCGGTCGCTAAGCTTGATTAGCGACCGATTTGTGACAACAATAATCGGTCGCAAAAATACTCATCGCAACGAAGAAAATTTTTATGTGGCCACAAATTTGAAAATACATAATCCAAAAGAATACTCCAAGCATAATAGTTCGGTCAAATAAACAACTAACATTGAACTATGGGAATCATTGTATCATTTAAAGATATATTATAATCCAAAATTACAAACATTAATTTATTTACTTACATAAACTTTATGCGTTTAGCGTGGTGTAAAAATTAGCTCCATCATGTGCTCAAGTTTGTTAATTTCAACTTTGTCCTGCTTTCAATCTCTCATGAGACTATATTCATGTTTCACCAAGAAACCATTTAATGACAAATAGTCATGCTTAAGTAAAACTTAGAATTTATTTACTATATTTATGCTTCACCAAGAAGCTCTTTCAATAATAACAATTATGATTAAGTACAAATTAAACCTTCAATTTAATCTGCAGAATTTTAATAATTTGCAAACTGTAATGCTTCAACAAGAAGCCTTCAAAGTAACAAACCATTTACACTTAAGAACAACTTAGGAATTTCTTTCGTTTGCATTATTTAAATATCTATTTATAAAATCAATCAACATGCATCATGCATATTCCAAAAAAATAAATAAATAAATAAAATGATGATCATCAAAACAATATTTCACAACCCAAATAAAATAATCAACAAAAGGGTTCAAGCATATATTTGTAAAGGAGTCCAAGTAACATTGGTTACAACCAAAACTCCCACTAACCAAGAATACCAAGATTCAAGTACATTAAGTTTTAATAGTTATAAAATCTATAAATATACTTTAATATTTGTTTTATATTCTTAGTCATTAATGAAAATTGAGATATCTCTTGCGCATTTATTCAGGAACTAACATAGACTTCTATATTATATGCAATTAAGTTTTAATTAGTTATTAAAATCCTAAAATATACTTAATATTTTTGTTTATATCTTCTTAGTCATTAGATTGAAAATATAGATATCTCTTGCGGCATTTATCCAGAACTACATAAGGACTTCTATTTTATATCAAAACAAATTAGGCTACATGCTATTCACAAATATATTCTTCTTAGATTCCATGGATATCATAAGTTAAATGCGCTTTAAAAATATCTTTTTAATCAACAAAATAGAATAAAAACTATTTATTCTCTTTTAAAACCACATGATACATGCAGTTAAATAATACAACAAGCTTACAGCTATTTCCATTAAATGAGGATTCTTTATTTGAAATTATTATTTATATGTTTATAGAAAGATTTACTCAAAATTATTTCTTTCCATTCATATCCATTCAAGTAGTAAGAATAAGCAACAAAATAGTTTTGGATTTGTCAATGTCTTCACCTTCATTAAAAAATTTGATTTTACAAACTCTATGATTAAGAAATATTCAGTATCCTCTATCTGATTGTTAATGATTGTTTTGATAGCTGCAACACTTTGCCTTTCTAACAAAAGCTGTTTGAATCTCTAAACCACCATTAAAACTTCTCTATTTGTGTTTAAGAAAATTCACCCATATCATTCTAGTAAAATCATCAAATAAAAAGAGATTACAAGTGGTTTATATTAATCACAAGAGTGAAGTGTTCTACAAAGGATAACCACAAAACATCTATATTGCACTAGACTATCAAGTTTATAGGAAGCTCTTCCCATGCTTGTTAGCTCTTGGAAAAAGGGTTGGTCTATGCATTTTTTCGACTTGACAAGCTTTCAACTACCACAAATTATCTTCCATTTCATATCCATCAAGTAGTAAGAATAAGCAACAGAAAGTTGATGCTCAATGTCTTCACCTTCATAAAATTTATCAAACTCTATTGATAAATATTCAGTTCCTCTATCTGATTTGTTTGTTTTGATGCTGCAACCACTTTTGTTTCTACAAAAGCTTTGAATCTCTTAAACACATTAAAAACTTCTTATTTGTGTTTAAGAAAATTCACCCATATCATTCTAGTAAAATCATCAATAAAGAGAATAAAGTGTTTATTATCACCAAGAGAAGTGGTTCTCAAAGGACCACAAACATCTATATGCACTAGCTCAAGTTTATAAGAAGCTCTCCATGCTTGTGCTCTTGGAAAGGGTTGTCTATGCAATTTTCCGACTTGACAAGCTTCACACACATCAGATTTTAAGAAAATTGTGGGCATATCTCGCACTATGCATTTAGATTGCATAAATTGGAGAGAATTCAAATGATAATGCCCAAATCTTTTGTGCCACAACCATGATTCATCAGCAATAACACTAAGCATTTAAAGAAGAATTTTTTAAATCTAAAGGAAATTTTCTGCCTCTCATAGCCACTTCAATCAGCTTGCTACCATTTGGTTCATAAACAGTGCATAACATATTTCAAAGTGCAAAGCATAGCCATTTCATGCATTTGCCCAACACTCAATAGATTTTGACTGAGATCACGAACCAATAAGACATCTTTGATAAATTTCATACCTTGATTAGTATGAACTTTTACCGTTCCTTTGTTGGTGACGGGTATCTCTTCTGCATATTCTACTTTTACGGTGCCTTTGTATAAGGAATCAAGCTTATTGTTGATGCATGTTTGGTCATGTGATTCGTGCAACCATTGTCAATGAGCCATGGTTTCTGATGTAAGACTTCAGAAACATGACTTGCAAAGAATAAATTATCTTCCTTCTCCTCGTCTTCAACATGGTTTGCATTGTGAGTTTGATTTTGTTACTGATTTTGCTGCTTCCTGCAGAACCTCTCTATGTGCCTGAAATAATCATAAAATCAGCATTGAGGCTTGCCTTTGTATCTACAATCTTTGTCTGAATGGTTGGTTCTTTTGCACACACCACAAGGAGGAAACTTGCTTTTCTACTCAACTTCTTAGATTTTGATAAGCCAGCTTCATCTCCTTTCTTGTTGAAATATTGTTTCTTGTTGTATATAAAATTGGCTTGCTTTTAATTATTCTTGGCTTGAAATGCTACTTCTATGGATACTTCACTTCTTATGGAGAACCTTTGCTCTTAGGCTTGCAAGGCTCCAACAAGCTCTGTGATCATGTATTTTGAAAGATCGTGAGCTTCTTCAATGGCTGCAACTTTTGACTCATACTTCTCCAGGAAGGAGATGAGAATTTTCTCCACTGCTCTCTGGCCTATAATATCTTCTCCATAAATCTTCAACCAATTTACAACTTGAATAATTTTTGAGCTATAATCTTTGATACCTTCATCATCCTTCATCTTCAATGATTCAAATTCTCTTCTCAAGATCTGTAACTTCACTTGTCTTACTCTTTAAGAACCATGAAACTTCTCCTTCAATATTCTCATGCTTCCTTGACTATCTCTGCACCCATAATTCTTGAAAAATACTTTCATCCACGACCGAGTGAATGAAAGAAAGGGCTTTGAATGGCTTTAGAGCCTCCTTTGTTTGTTACTTGATTTGAGCAAGAGTAGGATTTGGCCTTTGTGGTGATGGTTCATAATTCTTTTCCACTACCTCCCACAAATTATTAGCTTTTAAGAAGCCTTTCATCTTGATTATCCAAAAATCATAACTTTGGCCTTTGAAGATGGGTGGTGCTAGAATAGAGATGTTGGAAGATATCTCGCTTCTCTCTTTCTTTCTCTTTCTCTCTTTTTCTCTCTCTAAGTAACAAAGTAATCTCATTCCCCTTTAAGAAGAGCTTTGATACCAATTATTGGTGTTTTTCTAGCAATGGAGAGGATGAAGATGAAGATGGGAATACTTGGGTTTCATTACCTTAATAAATCTGCAGTATATGAAGGCCAAATTTTACCTATAGGTTTTGGGCTCAAAAATCCAAAAGTATACCCCTTTGGTTCAAAAAGCCCTATATGAAGGCCTGTTCCGGAGTCAATATCTTCTATACATCTAATGAGAAGCTCGTATAGAGTCTTCTAGGCAATATTTTGGTTTCTCGAGATCAGCCTGGCATGCCTCTTTCACTTGCTCGATGCGTCATTAAGAATTACATACGCAATATATATTCATGTGCAAAATCGATGTCACTCCAGAAGCATTTGACAGTATTAGCTCAATATCTCTTTATCTGTTACTTGGAACACCATTTCGAAACAAAAATATTTCGTTTGTTGACCTGTAGCAAGCATTGGAATCATTTTTTTATCATTCCGTATTGGAGCTTCCGGACCCAAAAATACCAAGGTACTCCTTTGATCTAAGAAGCGTTGTATGAAAGCTTGTTCCGAACCGATATCTACTGTAACTCTAACGAGCTAATTTTTGAATCTTGAAGAGCCGAGCTTCTTCAACCTCAATAAATGAGGGAAAAAAAAAAGTCAAAGCTTGATTTGTTTACAAAACAAAATATAATTGAGCCGACCTTTTTATCAAACAAAATTTCAATTAATGCAATGGAAAAAAAAAAAAAATACTTGATTTCAATTTCTAACAAGGAAGAAGAAATAGAAAATTCTTTACAAGAAATAATGCATGACGAATAGGTTTGTGACAAATTCATAGAAGATGAGAAAATTCAACAAAGAATATCCTACTGCACAACAATAGAATGGACATCAAAATCATGCAAAAATTAGACAAAGTCAAAGCGAAAGAGTAGCCTCGCTGAGGGCAACTTCTTTCCCTTGCGATCAAAAAGAGGAATTGCACGAATACCCTGTCTTAGTTCAGAAACAGGGAAGCAGGCTTGGCCAGCAAAATCATCTTTCTCGGACATATCATACTCATGAACTTCAATTCGAAGCAAAGCTAGTTCAGGAACAGTCAATGGAAATGTAAACTCTTCACCCCAAATGGGTGTCCAATTGTCCTCTTTTATTTTAGTTTTCTCTACTTTCACATCAGCTGGCACTCCTGCTATGCCGACCTGCCATATCAATTAACTGGTGACTATGTGCTTTAGCTTTTTCTTAATTGTTAAATGACAGTTTTCATAGTTTCATACAATTTCTTATATATGTACATGCAGAACATTGAAAATCATTAGGTTCATCTGAGGAATTATTTGACAACTAAACTAAAATACAAGTGAATGCCAGCATACCCTCGTGTAGAAATCTGGTGGGGAATACATATCAAAGTGTGTTGGTTTAAAATCCAAATGCCATCCATCTCCCATGTACACTTTCACCTGTAAGTAACAACAATAGAAGCTTTTAAACCTGTTAGAGAGAGAGAGAATGGAAGGGTTATTAGTTTCAGATATTCACCTTTAAAGTTTTCTTTACTGGCAAGTTTGCTTTAGGATTGAATACTTCACCATGTGGACCCACATTCATTAGAAAATCAGGTTTCTTGACATAACCACAACCTCCATTGGCCCTAAACATCCCATGCATCAACCAAAGAGCTCTACCATATCCCTGTTATTGATAAGTAGACAATGTTGGGCCTCAGAACTAGAAAAGGTACCAGAAACTAAATTCCATAAATGTTGTAACTCAATTAAATAAGGAAAATGGAAAAAATTGAAGAATATTTCACAGTTGAACAGTTACTAGAATAGTAGCATATAAAATTTAAAGTTAAAATGTTTAGACATTTGATTCTTTTCTTTCCTTCTCTAAAAGATTACTTGGGATTGCAACCACTGGACTAATCAATGATTCAATATTTGCATTCTACATTCTACTGACTATCACAAACTCATTGCTCCGTCCCCACCTCTAATTCTCTTTGACATGCTGTTATACTAGTCCAAGTTTGCTAAGTTTTTTATCGGTCATCTTAACATTATGAAATTTTACTATTTCAGAAGTAAGAAGTACAATAACAACTATATGCAGATTGTTAAGTTATGCTTCAATTTCTGGAACTACAAGAAAGAACGTTGAACCAAACCTGCATATTAAATGCAACCATTTGAGCTCCATGCATCCAAGCCATTAGTGGTTTATAGTTGGAAGAATTAAATCGAGTGCCTTTAGGGTACACCCTTAGAACATTTTTTTGGGTGAATCTACACATAGAGATTGCAAGTGATGATTCAGTAACCAGAACAACTAAACCAAGTTTTATGCAGAAAATTTCAATTGCATGATTTTTATATGGATCATTACCTAATTACATCTGTTGCATGATTTTCAGTAGACTTTTCTAGTTTTTTCTCACTCAAACTAAGGCGTCTAACTCTATTAGGATCAACTTTTAGTGCCTCCTTTAACCCTCCCTTGGGCTTTCCGGCATGAATGGTAATTAGACGCTTGTATGCTGCCACTCCTAAATGGTTTGACTCATCATCACTATCTTCACTTGTCTCACTATCAGTCTGCAAGCAAATAGCACAAATGTAAAGGAATTAGCACCATATAATGTACATATTTACTCCACATGCAACATAAAGGATGTGGAATTCATTTCTCAACGCACCGAGTCACTATCTTCTTGATCTGACATAACGTCTGATAGCTCCTTTCCCCACGTATCATCATCAGAGTCCTTACTCTTTTGAGATTTGTTTCCCTTGCTCCTGACACTTTTGGACTTGTGACGATACTTTTTGGGAGGTTTGGTTGAAATAATTATGCGACACTTCAAATCTTCTGGAGAAGGCAACTCTTCTAAACATTCCAATTCAGGATTAGGGCAATACAACATTTCCTCAAATGTTTCAGTGATCATCTAAAAGCAAAAACATTTGTAATCAGTTAATGTAAGTTTTAGTGGGGGAAATGGTCTTAAATCCAAATGGCGAAATGAAAAATCACCTGCGCGGCTTTAGCTTGAAGATCTGGGGTAAGGTGGTCTTCAAGAGTTATTATGACAGGGTACTGAGAGAATTCAAAGGCATGTTCTTTTATGGATTTCAAGCATCTAATGAACTCCACAGGAGTTGTCAGGGTCCTACATTCAGGTATAGATATGTCAACAAAAAGGCAGAAATTGGAAAAAAATAAATAGAAGTTGCCAAAGTTACCTGCAATTAAAATAGGAAGGAAAAATAAAAGTTAGAAAAAAGATATGTTAAAAGCATGTGATGTCTAAAATTTGCAGCAGTTCAGTAGTCCAAGTAGCAACTGCGGCTTGTTTGTTAACCAATGTACAAGAAATCTAGAGAACATTTATTAGTTAAAATTAATCATAATCTGGGTTGAATTAGTTGGAAGGCACTTGGTCTTTTCATTTTAAGCTTTGACTGGTTCAGAATAGTCAAGAGTTCCCATTAAGATGACAAAGAATGAAAAGTTGCGGCAGATTTTGTGCAGGTTCCAGATATGAATTTTCACAAAAATAGAGGAATCAAAATCAATACCTATACTCAAAATAGAACAACAGCAAATAAAGTTGCTCAAGTTCAACATAAACCGTGAAAGATAAATGCCCCCCATCTTCTCTCCAACGCGGCCCCCCCCCCCCCCCAATAAAGTTGCTCAAGGTTCAAACATAAACCGTGAAAGATTAAATGCCCCCCCATCTTCTCTCCAACGCGGCCCCCCCCCCCCCCCCCAACCCCCAAATCTGGGGAGAAAATTGAAAATAAAAAAAAAAAAAAAAAAAAAAAAAAAAAAAAAAGAAAAAAAAAAAAAAAAAAAAAAGAATTGAGTACCTTCCATGTAGAACATTTATATCATCCTTGTTGGAATTAGGCCATATATCAAGTTCAATAACTCTTACACCTCTCTTCAACGCATTTATGATTGGAATTTCACTGCAATCGCTGCTCAGTTGATTTCCAGTCAGGTAGGAATTGTGACCAGTAAAGATGAAATAATGGGAAAGTGGCTTTGTCATATCGTGGTGAACCTGAAAAGGGAAAGCAAATGAAATATCTCAATTACTAATACTAATTGCTTCAATGATAGGAGTTAAAGCTTAATTAAAAGCCCCTGATTCTTGATCATTTGACTAATAGTAACACCAGTTTTAGTCAACGAGATCGAAAATTCGATCAGAAAAAAACAAAAATTACCTCATTTTCCCCAGGAATAGGAGGATTGAGATCTGCAGAGAACAAATAATGGTGAAAATCATCAAGAGTGAGAGTATGCCTAGTAAACTTGGTAATATGATGCCTCTTTTGCAAAATCTGCTGGACGATCTTCTCGGCGTCTGAGATGGACGCGCTGCTGTCACCTTGAACATCGCCCAAGAAACGCAAGAACTGTTCCGCAGTCATGTGAGTCCCGCCGCCGGAATACTTCTTAAAAGCATCCTTGACATCCGTCGGCGGCCCGGCCTCCGTTATTTTAAATTTTCTAATGAAGCACATGCACATTCTGTAATTCCCCATTTTTGAGAGAGCTCAGCTGAGTTGTTTTGTTATTGAAACGATTTTAGATAAGCAGAAGTGACTGAGGAATTACTCCGTCTCCGTTAATGTCATTCTCACTAAGCTTCTGGTTCGACCCTTGACCTTCCCGCTCTTTTCTTTCTTTATTACTCGCTTTCATATTCTTTAATCTGTAACAACCACACTGGCATCGCCACAATTGCGTATTATTTTATTATTGGCCTTACTTAAATATTATTAAATATGAATAATATACGATCGTGGCAAGTCGGCATTGGCTGATCCGTACAAAGAAATACATCCTTACCAATTTTATCGGGTTAATCCCCGCTTTCCACTTCAAGTAATTTCTAATTTTATCCGGTTATTTTTCTCCGTTCCATTCTAATTAATTTTAGCAAATAGAAGTTTCAAATTCAATCTCTTGGGTACGAGTTTTTTAAATATTTGAAAAAGAGTATTTTAATCCGTTTTTATTGGTATATACTCACTTGTACCGTGTTAATTCGGTTTAGTCGATTTAATAGACTTTAGATACCAAATGATTTAACACAAAAAATGAAGTTAAAGCATAAGAATTAAATAAATAATTAAAGAATCTAATTTTTAAATACAATAATTAAAGAATGATAGTATAATTTAAACTAATCGAAATTTATAAAAAAATTATGAGACAAATGATATGTTTTACATTAATAAATACATGAGATCATTTAAATTTGAGAAAAAAAAATAGAAAATGCAAAATATGAAATAAGTTAATAATTTCTCCATAAAAATAATATGCAACGCTAGACAACAAAAAATATATATAGGCATATAAAAATAGTTAGCAACATCGAAATCAACGTTGTTGATCCTAATAGTAACAAATAATTTTATGGATTTACATTTGATTTTAAATGTTGACTTCAAATTTTGAAATCTATACTAATTTGTTTAGGTCTACGTACTATGATAAATATTATTATTATTATTATTTTTTAATCTCCATTTGTTGGTTAGGTAAATTATACGAATATTATAACCTAATGCATTAGTTGGGTATTTGATTTAATCATTAAAAAAATTAAAATATAATTGTTCCATTTGAAAATAAATAATAGTTGTATTCACATTATTAGTATTCAATTTGTTTGATTTATTGACGTAAATTATAATATTTTTTCCAGAGAAAATATTCACTAATAGATTAGTGTAGTCAATAATTAAATATCTTTAAAAGAAATGATTAAAAAGAAGAATACAAAGCAGAAACAATAATTAAATCTTAAATTAAAAATAATTAAGCTCAGTCATATATAGGAATGGTTTGGATGCCGTGACAAGAACATAATGCACAGAAGTTAGAGAAAAAGAAAGGCAATATAAGACGTAGTGGGGATAGGCCACATAATTTAAATGTGCTTAATTTCTTGGCTGGGGACAGAGCTGCGCCCGCAATCAATAATTTACCCACTAAAGTCCTTTTTTTCTTTTTCTTCTGTCTTTTGGTATTTTATGATCCTTACCATCACGCTTTATCTACCGCTCTGCACATGTGAAGTGTGAACATCTTCGTCCTTTTTCATTATTATTATTATTATTATTATTATTATTATTATTATTATCTCCTCCTTCTTCCTCTTCTTATCTGCATCTCCAAATCAATAAGGCCATAACTAGACATAATTTACTGCTAAGTGTTTGTACCATCTATTATAACTATAGGGTTTTGAAATTTAGACTTTCAGGCAATGTACTGCCTTTAATAATGAATGAAGTCCTTTGATGAGAATAAGACGTTTGAGTTAGTTAAGTTGTCTAAAAGTAAAAGAGCTTTGGAAAAAGAAGTGGATGCTCAAGAAGGATGAAGAACACAACCCTTAACCAAGATTCAAAGCTATACTAATAATAAAAGGATTCGGCCAAAGGAGAGCAAGATGAATGTTAAAATTGTCTTCTTTCATAGAGATTTGGGTGAGGAGATTTTTATGAAGCAACTAGAAGGTTTCGAAGAAAACATAAAAAAAAGACTATATTTTAAACTAAAGAAAAATTTGTATGGCTAAAAGCAGACACTGAGGTAGTGGTATAAGAAATTTGAGTTTATTATGTAAAAGCAAAGCTACAAAAAGACTACTTCATGTCACTGTATTTTTGTATAGAAATTATCCGATGCTGATTCTATTGTTCTCCTTCTCTATTTGGATGACATGTTGCTTCTTGACCAACACATTGCTAGAATCAACAGAGTGATTATTTTTCCTTGAAAGAGTTGAGGCTAGCAAAACAAATTCTTGGCATGCAAATTATTAGAAACAAAGTGCCAAGAAGGTATATATGGTTGGTCACAAGAGAAGTGCATTGAGTCGTGAGATATTGCTTATGTAGTTAGAGTCGTGAATTAATTTCTTTCAAATCCTGAAAAATAAGATCGGGCTACAGAGAAATAGATTTTTAAGCATCTACGGAATACTTTCAAAATATGCCAAACACGTCTTAGTTGGATACACAAATGTAAATACGTAGAAAAGTAGTAATATGATAATATAAAAACGAATATAAATGTGAAACTGAGACATATATAGTAATTCAATGATGGGGAATTGACACCCATATTTCTTCCAATTGCTAATGGGTGTTTGTTTACGTCCAAGTAGGAAGGAATCAACAAAGTCGGTGACCTAACTCAAGTTGCCTCTTAATTGTTCTTTATTAATACTTTTCTTTTTAAATATTTGATTGCTATTTGATTACGTAAATTCCATATTCCTTTAGAAACCAATGTTCCTTACTTTTCTAAAAATAGATTTTTGAAAAAATAAGATTTTTTTTTTTGTTAAATTATGATAAAGTGCAAACAATATGTAAAATTATTTTTTCCAATTTAAATATCTTTCATTCACTGTTATTAAACTCGACTAAAAAATCAATCAATGGATCATTGATTTAATCAGTGGGTCAATATAGCAATTAATGAGTCATAAAATATTAATAATGTATATTAATTAAATGATTCTAATTTTAAATAATTATTATAATCTAAAATATCAAAAATCGATCTGAGTCATCGTGTCTATGCAGGTTGACTGGTTCAACCACGGGTCATTCGGTTCAATCCGTAAAATCAGTCCGTTTTTTAGGCTAATTCATTGGTTTTCCAAGTTGATCCACCAGATCAGGCCGGATTTAATAACTATGCTTTCATTTACTTAAACTACAAAGTTACCATAAACATAACACAAATAAAAAAACAACTAACAAAAGGACATAATTATCTAAATATTTTATAATTTAGGCTATACATATGCAAATGTAATTATCATATTTCAAAAACACGATAGTGAACCAAACCCTTACTATTGTGACGCGGTGTAGAATGTGTGAAGATTCTGTAAGGGACGGGCTATCAGCTACCAGATTAGCCCAACGGGCCACATGAAATCCTCAAGCCTAAGGAGCTTAGAGCTCAACTTTATGTCCTTATGGCCCAAATAAAAATCCAGATGGTATTCAGGAAGGGATGTGCTTTCACAAGAAGTATACATATATTGACGGATAATCAGACAAATGAATTACACAAAACTGACCTCTCAATTCATCATCTTATTAGTGTCTATGACTAGAGATTAGAGAAGATACAACAGGATTTTGTTTTCTCTGAACTAGTTACTTTGCTCACTACAAGATCCTCAGACCTTATCACTCCCTGGAAAGTAATTTGCTTAGCAATATTATATCCAACTGTCTAAATACTAACTCAACAGTCATAACATTAACCAACATTCTTTCTGACCAAAAAATGCCTTCATTACGTTCTGCTTACAATGTAAGAATTGCGCATTTCAAGTGCCTAACTACCTGCCGTTCTTATCACAGGATATATTAGATGTGTACCAAACTCATACATGCAAGAACCAATTAGTGGTATGAAAAAATGACAGCAACCAAACAGGACAGTAGTAATGAGGGAAAATCTATCAGCATCAACTATCATAACTAAACAACATAATTATGAAAAACAAGATATCAAAAAAATTACCAAGAACAGGAATTAAATACCACCAAATGATTAACTTTCTGAGCACTGTAATGAGCCAAAAATCACTCTCTTTTCAAAAGAAAAGAAACAGTAACTACATGTAATTACTAATTACAAATAAATAGTTTTGAAACAGCAATGGAAAAGCTTCAACTTTTCAATCATATCAGAAATCCTGAGATTTATCATTTTATCTCCACTCAACCTCATTATTTTCCACCAATATAAAAAAAATAAACAAACAACTCCAATCTCCTACAGCCCCCACAAATCAGAATTCAAAGAACAATCGTTTCTAAGATTACATATTAGAACCAAATAGACATAATCAAAGTAGCTTTGAAAAGTTCAAAGAGCTAATAAAAGCAAGAATAGTATATGGGTACATATATTCTCCACTAAGTGTGATTCAACTGCTATTACTCTGATCGATTGGCGTACCTTTCAACCTTATCATCATTCAGATTAATGCCAACCATAGCCTCACCCAATCCGCAGCTCACGTCTGCGAGTACATCAGGATCACTGTAATGTGTCACAGCCTGCACAATTGCACGGGCTCTCCTCGCCGGATCCCCACTCTTAAACACGCCAGAACCCACAAACACCCCATCACATCCGAGCTGCATCATCAACGCTGCATCTGCTGGGGTCGCCACTCCGCCTGCTGCGAAATGCACCACTGGCAACCTTCCCAGCTGCTTAGTCTGCATAACCAAATCATAAGGCGCGGCAATCTTCTTGGCGAAAGTGAAAACCTCATCATCATCCATGTTCCTCAAAACTCTAATATCTCCCATAACAGACCTCACATGCCTAACAGCCTCCACAATATTGCCTGTACCTGCTTCACCTTTGGTTCTGATCATGGCCGCTCCTTCCCTTATTCGCCGTAGAGCTTCTCCGAGATTCCTGCAACCGCAGACAAAAGGAATCCGGAAATTATGTTTGTTAATGTGGTTTTCTTCGTCTGCCGGAGTGAGAACTTCGCTCTCGTCAATATAATCGATGCCGATAGCTTCGAGTATTTGGGCCTCCACGAAATGGCCAATACGAGCTTTGGCCATTACAGGAATGGTCACAGATTGTTTAATTTCTTTGATCAATTGTGGGTCGCTCATTCGGGCGACGCCACCCTGAGCGCGGATATCCGCTGGCACGCGTTCCAAAGCCATGACAGCGCAGGCTCCAGCCTCCTCGGCGATGCGGGCTTGTTCGGCATTGACAACGTCCATGATGACGCCGCCTCGGAGCATCTGAGCAAGGCCGACCTTGACAGAGAATGGGGATTTCTTAGTGGTTTCATAGATAGCGCCGTTGCCGTAGACAGTTACAACTCCGGTGTCAGCCATTGCGAGGGACAGAGAGAGCAGAAAAATAAAGGAGAACAGAGAAAAACGAGAGAAAGGGCGGCGAAGAGTGGAGTGGGTGGCTAGGGATTTTATTTATTTATTTGTTCTAATTCTTGGTAAGGGAATATCCTTTTTCACATGCATAATAATTCATTCACATTTTAGACAAATTAGTTTTTTTTTTTTTTTTTTTAATTTTTGTTGTGCATAAGATTTTATGAACGGCTAATTTCATCTATTAAGTATTAATATAATTATCAAAATAAATAAATAAGATATTATACTTAATTTTTCTTAATCATATGATGATAAATAAATTAATTTATAATTAAATTGACTACATACTGTCCCTGTTGTTTAGCCCAATGTGTTAGTATTATGCTAATTAGTGTTATACTACCCTATTATGTAATCCATTTTGTTAGTGTTCCGTCCCTTTTGTGCAGTCCGTCCGTTTTGTTAATAGGCTTTCTCATATTAATATCTTATCATGTGTATGTTCGAACTAAGGGTGTAAATGAGGTAAGCTGACGCACGAACTATTCGACTCGGCTCGAAAAAAGATTGAAAAAGCTCGGCTCAAATCAGGCTCGAGTTTAATGATGTTCATCTCGAAAACTCGTCGAGCCTTATTTAGCTTATATATAATGATGTTCATCCTCGACAACTCGTGCGAGCCTTATTTAGCTTATATATATATATATATATATATATATATATATATATTATATATATAATGTATATTTTATCATGTCGTTTATAATGTTTTTTAGGTTTATGAGTTCTAGAACACTGACCATGCACATATTGGAGGAGACTGTTAATGTCATAATCAAATGTGTTTACAATAAGAATCCTAATTCCTCGTGGCCTATTTTTGAACCCGTGTGTAAGTCCCAATTGGTAGGGCAGTTGAAGGGTATAACCTGGCCGAATTCTTGAGATATCATAACCGGACTTAGATTAGTGTAGTATAACCGGATCACTATCATTAAAATCTATGCTATTTTATAAAATGGATCCTTTCATATGTAGATTAAGTAGTAGTAATAAATCGGATGATTCTGCATCTTCAGAATTTAAAAGGATTATTAGTAGCAATGAATCAAATTTTAAGGATATAAATAAAGCTATTAATGAAAAGATGATTTCTACAGTAATTGTTCCTGATAAAAATGATTTTAAGATCTCTACAGTAAATGTTTCTACAGTTAAAGAACAATTCTATAAAAATTCTAAGTTTTATTATGAAATAGAAACTAGAATACCTCGAACATTAAATATACTTAGTAAAGAAGAAATTGAAAACGAATTACTTGAAGAAGTATCTAAAATAAACAACTTAATTAAAATGAAGAAGATTCTAAAAACTTATACTTTTGAAGAATTAAAATCTGAATATTTAGACTAAACTATAAACCTAATAGGCAAATGAAATAAAATTCTTTGAATTGGTATAACCTTAATTAAAGAAAAGCAATCTGAATAAAAGGTGTATCCAGTAACATTCTAGAATCACAATTAATATTGGTAAAAAATGATCACACACAAACCTCTTAAAGTTTACAAATCAGACTTCGAACGGTTTGAATGCTTACAAAGAACTTTGGGGAGAGGATGAGAGAGATTTCTACAGTAATTGTTCCTGATAAAAATGATTTTAAGATCTCTACAGTAAATGTTTCTTCAGTTGCTAAAAACCTCAATATTTTAACTAAAAAAGATATTGAAAAAGATTTATTAAATGAAGTATCTAAAATAAAAAACTTAATTAAAATGAAGCAGATTCTAAAAACTCATACTTTTGAAGAATTAAAATCTGAATATTTAGATTATAGACTAAATAGGCAAAATGAAATAAAATTCTTTGATTGGTATAACTTAATTAAAGAAAAAATTCAATCTCATGTTTGTAAACCATATCACAATTCACAGTCTAGTAAACAAGAATTTGTCAACATATTAAAAGATCAATTAAGTAAACTTGAAGTGTATTCAGCGACTACTCAACCAGTAGCTCTTGACACTTTGACACCACCGTCAAGCATCACGAAATATAAATAATTTAGAAGAAACTTCTAATTCTGAACTTAGTGCACCAGAAATCAGAAGATGTAAAACAATTTGAATCTAAATTCCAAAAATAAATCATAACATAGGAAAATAGTTAATAGAGCTCCAGATTTTAGGAATTATTGATAAACCTAATTCGTTATCTCAATTTTAATATATATATTATATATATATATATATAATATATATTATTTGTTAAATTACACTAAGAGCCATAAGCCTCAAACGGAACTCAAAACTTAAAATTTTCTAAATTAGCTCGAGCCTCTATATATATATAATATTATTTTAAATTACTAGAGCATCAAGCCTCAAACGGAACTCAAACTTAAAATTTTCTAAATTAAGCTCGAGCCTCAAGTCAAGCTTTCATTGAGCTCAGGTTTAAATTTTCAAGCTTGTTGATTTTCAAGCCAAGCTAAATTCTATCGGGCCGAACTTCAAGCCTTATAGATTCAAGCTCAGCTCGGCTCATTTGCACTCCTGGTCCTGTCAAATTGAGAACACAAATTCGATTTTCGGTTTATGTTCAAACAACCTCGATGCCATAAGGTTGAAAATACAAAATCAATTCCCAGGAAGTCCAATTTGCTGGAAAATTGAAAAACATGTATTCTCTACGCCCGATGGGAATGATTATACCAAGAAAAAAAAAAATGAGTTTGTACATCAATGATTTTCACTTATGAAATTATGTTTTTGCATCTGTGAAAAAATAATCATTCCTAGCAGACAAACTACAAGCAACTCTAAACCTGCACAAATTTATTTTACTTTACACATTCTGTTTCTCCATTTCCCGAACATCCTCAATAGCTCTCTGTTTCTGTTGCAACCAACTCTTAATAAGATTGCCATCAGCAGGCTGGAGGGTACACGGCGGGGTTGCTGAAGGAAAGACAGTAGATCTTTTAAGGAATTCCTTTTCTTTCTGCTCAGCAAAGCAAAGTATGGAATCCATGCACGCTTCAAGCGCATCAGGTGGTGGGACAGGCTTGAAGTCCTGCAGCTTCGAATACTCTGATATTAGGTGGAACATGTAATCGTAGACTCGATCCATACTTAAGGCTTCCATAAAATCTTGCCCTGCTTTTCCAATTGCCTTCGCCTGACATTAATGAAAATTTTGGATTAACTAGTTTGTCTTGGACCCAGGACTGGAGTTACAATAATGATGAACAGCGGACATGATGACATTAAACTAAGAACAGAACCTAACAACCAGTTACTAATTACTATTTCTGCAGAGAACCTACCTGAATTGCAGCTCAGTTAAGATCAAGATCTTAAAACAACAAATGTTTTGCCCCCAGTAAGGCAGTATTGGATATGTGAACGGAGTTCTGGATGATGAGGTAAAAGAAATCGTAAGTTGAACACACCTTAGATGGGTTTGCATTGCCCCAGTCGACAGCAAACTTTATCGACCTACACAACTCATTCGCAGAAACAGGCCAATAGTTTTCCTTAGGAATAAGGCCACGACTGAAGAAATCTTCATATTGTGGAGAAATTATTAGCGCAAGGGAGCCACAAGATACAATGTATTTCAAGCTCACAGACCAGGCAAAGCCTTCAGCATAGATTTTGTACCTGCATGGAGAGGACAAGAAAACAAATAATAGATGCAAGATATTTGCACTTAACTAATCAGAAGAAAACACTTGTACATATTACAGAAAACTTACAGATACAAACTCTTAACATCAGATAGAACACGAGAATTTTGAGAATCTAAACATCGACCATAGAATACAGTAAACTGTCATCCAACCAATGACATATCAATTCTTTTAAATAATTGAAGGTTTCCTTCAAAGAGTCCAGTCCTTGCGCAACTTTCAGCTGTGGCATACTCATTATGGGTACGCATGACCAAAAATGATTCTGTTGGTATGCTTTCTTAATACTTGGGCGTTCATGGACTATAAAACTGGAGGTTTATCCTAATTGCATAAAATAGAATAATAAAATAAAACAACTGAATTTCGCATTTGTTTGTTTGTTTGTTTGAATAGGAAATATACATACAACACATAAAAACAATTCAATCAGGCAATTTTCAAAATATAAATCCCATGGTAAACGACACTCACCTGTAGTCACATTGATTTGATAGTTTGGAGCCCTCAAAACCAGCTCTTGCTTCTTCATCCCAATTCTAGAGGAAAACAAACAGACAACACCAAGACATAATTTCTGGGATTAAGATTCTCATGTCCATAATTCATATGTTAGAATAACAGTTTGACAATGTAAATAGAACTCAACCTGTCGCATAATTTGTGCCCCCCACTTCCTAGAGTGATTGCATTGCATTAACTCTGTGCGAAGAGGAGACAAAACATCTGGATTTCCTTTCCAATATGCACGAGGCCATTTCTTGGACCAACTTTTAGACTGAGAACCTCGTTTAATGTCTTGAAACTCCTCACCCCAGGATCTTATATTGATCTCTGGCCTATAGAGAGTCAGTTGTGCAGATATTGAATATTAATTGTAATAGTAACAGCTATAAGACAAATTTAGGGAGAAAAACCAAAACATTCTTATATTACAATGGAATCCAAATATTGCTTCCTCAAAATATAGATTCCTGCTCAATTGTTGATATCAAGTTAAATGCATGAAAAAGGAAAACCCCAAAAGTAGCAACACTTTCAAGCAAATAAATACACGTTTGGGCACTGAACAACAGAACCAAACCTACAAATAAATTACAAAAGAGAGAGGGAATTTTTCGAAAAGACAATATCAAACAAAAGCACCTAAAGATTGTATAAGTGAAAATCTTACCAACCCCAAAAGGACCAATCAGGAAATGGAATATCAAAGTGATCTTCAGTGGTGTCATAACGAAACAGTGGCAAAGGCATAGAGCTATGCTCGGTCTTGTTAATAATAGGCCTATCCATGCAATCGAACATGAAATCGACATCGGGTACCATCCCTGGATACCTTCTCAGCATCTGCAACAATCCCCATATCGTAAACATCAACCTGCTCTGCACACATGCATAATAAAGATCCAAATATAATCTTCCTCCAAAAATCACGACCCGAAAAGCTGCAAAATTCTTGGCCTCCATTATGTGATTCTTCGTTATCCCTGTCCGGCTCCAGGGCTCCAGATCGCGATGGATATACCTGAAAAACTCGGGGCATTCGGCACTCAATTTGGAGGAAGACTTGGAACGACGTGGTTGCGCAGTGGTGTTGTCGTTGGTATATGGGCAAGTAAGGAATTGACATTGTATGATTTTGTAAGCTCGAGCTTGGCGAGTTTCTTCATCGAAGTTTTTGAGCGGGAAAATGTGCCATGGCGTTGGGTCTAAGTTGTGTCCTGCAACCGTTTTAGTTCTGGACGCGAAGTTATCAACCTGTTCGATGAAATTCCGCAACGAATCAAGAATTGAAAAATACAATCATAAGGTAAACGCAAAAGATATTGGTATACCTGGTAGACGAAAAGGAGAGTGAGAGAGACGCAACCGATGAGACAAGGGAGGAGATAAGAGGGATAGCGAGGAATTGTGCTCCTGAGAGAAGCAGCCATTGAAAGAGAGAATTTTCGTTCTGTTGCAGAGGTGGTGAACCGGTGATGGCGATGGATTGTGTTTTCGCGGCATTGCGTCGCGTCTGGTGAGTTTTGGTTTCGCTTTTGTGTTGGGTAATTTTCGTGGCTTTCGGGCTACTGGGCTATTGCTTCCCTTTTTTTTGGGCAAATTTTACATTTTTACTGTTTTTGGTTTCGCTTTTTTATTTTTTACCGTCTCTGGTTTTTACCTTTCACATTTCCTTCTCTTTTGAAATCATGCGCCCATCGATGGTAAAAAAGTACACCTATATCAAAAGGCTCACTTCTTTTTTTTTTTTTTTTTTTTTTTTTTTTTCACATTTCCTTCTCTTTTGAAATCATGCGCCCATCATGGTAAAAAACAGTACAACCTATATCAAAAAGGCTCACTTCTTTTTTTTTTTTTTTTTTTTTTGTTTTTTTTTTTTTTTTTTTTTTTTTGTTTTTTTAATCAAATAGTTGCAGATTATAATTTTCAGATGTAGATATTTATCTTCATATTTGTATTTATAACTTTCGAAATTTTTACCTTTATCTATTATCTTTAATGACTAAATTACCCATATCTACTCATTTAAAATTTTAGTAACTATTCATATAGAAAATCACTTTTTTAAGAAAGTAGATTTTCAAAACATTAACTGTAAAATTGTTAATTTTTAAGTTTGATTATAAAAATTTTGATGGAAATCAGTTTTGATGTCAAAAAATTAACACATCGTTTTGATGTGGAATCAATAAATAAGTATGAACAATCATTTTTTATTTATTTATTGAGAAGCTCAATTAATCGAAATAATATGATAAACTACTTTACGTTAACTCACAAAATCGGTAAAAACCGTTTTATTAGTATTGCTCCATAAGGCAATATCATTATATAGAAAAATTCAAAATATTCAAATAATGTGGTAATAACAAGAATAGGAATTGTTGAATCAAATAAGAATCAAAATTAATTAATGAGATATTCTTATAATTAAGAGTAATAATGTTTGAAGGATTTTGCTCTCTGTAACACTGCGTTGGACATGATTGGAGATTTTGTTGCTACCAATATGTGAAGGGCGATGGGTTCTTGAAATTGAGATATCATTCAAATGTTTTCATCTCCGTATTCTTGCAGTGGCTAGTCTTTTTTGTTGTGTGGTCCCTCCAACATGTGGGATCCACAGACATTTGAAAAGAAAAAAATAATAACAATAACAACACGTTTTTGTTTTGGCAGTCAAAGAGAGATTGCCTAACAAAGAAAAAAAAAAATTTTGTTGAAAGTTTGGACGCGTGATTAATGCATCCATTCAGTGGACGCGTTAATTACGCGTCCCCTTCTCCAGGATTTTCACGTCACAATGTACAAAAACAAAATATATAGAATAGGAATACACTACTGAGTGTAGAAAATTTTAGTAAAGGGTTCCTAAAATTGGGAAAATAGAGAAAATAGTGAAGATTGTAATTTTTGGGGTGTTTTTTTTGTGAAACACTTAGAGTGCCACTATTTTTTTGTAATCTCTTTTTGTACCTACTATTTTTAGTGGAAAAATTATTCGAAATTTTTGTCCCGTACACGTAGCCCATAACAGTTGAAGGGTGAACCGTAGCCCATAACAGTTGAATGGGGTGAACCCCATATAATCTCGGTTGTTCTATTTTTCATTCTGGCATTTACGGTAATTATTTATTTTTTTTAACTGTGATTATTATTTCTGGTGGATTCGATCGTGCATATCTAAAATTATTAGAGGTATAAATGTTGGGGGTAAAAATTAATTAATTTTATTTTTACTTTTACCATCGGTATTTTTTCACGGGCCCCACTTCGAGATCAACGTTAGAATCCCACACTTTTGAGTTAGTGGAGATGTCCGTTTGAATAGGCTTTTTCACCAATGCTGGATTATTATTTCTGGTGGATTCGATCGTCAATATCTAAATTATTAGAGGTATATGTGGTAATAATAATTTTATTTTACTTTTACCATCGGTATTTTTTCACGGGCCCCACTCGAGATCAGTTAGAATCCCAACACTTTTGAGTTAGTGGAGATGTCGTTTGATAGGCTTTTTCACCAATGCTGAAGTGGAAAAGAAAGCACTGAGGAGTTCATGATGTTTGTGAAATTAGTGGAAGATTTTACCAAGACTCCCTTAGTAAAATCATTATTTGCAAAGCATTTACAAGGGGCAATTCCAATCTTTGGCTATTTCTTCTCATTTGCCATCATCCAAATGTGAGGTAAATGGTGGGTTGATCTAATTCAAGGGCTCCTTTTCTTGATTTTTTTTTTTTTGCTGAATTTAATAGTTAATTTATGCTTTTGATATTTCATGATTTGCGCAGGTTAGCTTATCTTATATGGTATAATAACTATTTTTCATTATTTTATTTCTACACTATTGTACATGTAAAAGAAAAAGAAACTATCATTCATAATCATCATTTCATAAAAAAAAATTAAAAGGGGTGCCATTCAAAATATTGCAAACCTAAAAAATAATATAAATGGAGGAATAGATATAAGCATTTTGATTCATATGCATTTAACTTTTCCTAGCAAAGTAGAATGAACACACAGAGGACACTGAACTGAAAATTCTTGGTCAAGTGTAGAGACCTTGAGGAGATTCACTTTACAGTAACTGTCAATATACTTTTTTTAACATATGATTTCTGTACAATCCTACATCAAAATATCGCTTTATACAAAAACAAGTCCAATTAATTATACCCACTGACAAAAAAGAAAAGACAAGAAAAATTCAGACTGCACCATCAAGAATTTCATTACCAGGGAGAATAATTTGCACAATAGTTCTCAAACAAGCTTCTCAAACTGTAAATATTTTTCTGACTTTCTTCATACTCCTACGACATATTGGACAAGTACCAGGCTCTTCTGCTATCCTACATAGTAAAAAAAAAAATGTTTCATCCTGTTTTAGTTTAAAGAAATTTCAATGGAATTCTTTTCGAAAAATAATTCCTAAATTGCAGGAGTATTTTCCAAGTAAAACTAAAAGCACAATGGAATTAAAAAGATCATAGAAGTCTGGAAATACCTGGATGCACAGGCAAAACAGGCTGCACAATGTCCACATGGAAGAAAGAAGCAATCTCTTGGTGCATCAAAGCAAATAACACAAAGACTCTGGAGATTTTCGCCTTCTGGTAACGGTTTCCCTTCAAGTGAATTTGCTGCAAGCAACTCATCAACATCTCGACCATCTTGTGAGATAGAATCATAGGATGAACCCCGACTTGAGATATCATCATCTTTAGGAGTGAGCAATGGGATTCTTTCTGATCTCATCTCTCCTGGTTGATTGCTATCCTGATCGGAAGCTTGGAATGCATTACAGAATTTCAAAGTTAACATCATAAGGAGAGTCATAATTCCTGCATATAATAACGGAAGATTATGTAAAAACATGCATTAAATTCAAAAGAAGGACAAACGGAAACGAAAATAACCTGATCCAACAATGTATGTGATCCATCTTGGTCTGTAAGATATTTTGACATGCCAATCATCATCTGAATAACCCTGAAAGAACAGCAACAGTTTTTCACATTTATAATTTGAAACTAACAACTTATCGTCACACTCGATTCAAATGCTGACTAGTTGCTGAAAGACTAGAAACCAACTTTCCATTAACCAAAATAATCTGCAGCACTTACCTCTATACGACCTGGAGATGTCAAGACAGCAAAACTTGTTCTGAACAGAGACAGCTTCAAGCGACATAAGGGATTACTGATGGAGCACATGTAATGTGAGTGAGTTGTATTATAGATGACAGCCTTCATCTTGAATGTCAACTCTACCTGTGTAATTTAGAACCATTGGATGCAAATCACGTAATGATTTGAAGGTGTCAGCTTGTCTTTATGTAGAAAATTGTCATCCAAAGACCATGAGAATTAGCTTTGCAGCAAGGATAGGGGAAGTAAAGGAAAAAGAAAGAGAAAAGAAAACACACTAATGATTAAGCACACGTCTTTCAAGGATAATTTTTCACTCTCTCCAAGTACCAGAATACGTTTTGTGACAATAAATCATTGAATTAGAACCATAAAGCATAAACTCTGACGTACAATCACCCGCATAAGCCAACTTATGTGCATAGATCTCGAGTATGTGAGGTCACTAGAAGTGGATTGAATAGAAGCTGATAAAAATTAATTTATAATAAGACAAGAAAATGTTGACGTTGAACTAATACCTCCACATCCTCAGAGTTCAAGTTCCCCACTGCTAAATAATAGTTAGAAGGCTCTAAAATTTCCTGCTCGATTTTGCCACTTCCTGGGAGATAAAAGTGTTAAAACCACTTAATCCACGGACTCAATGGTATAAAAAGAAATGAAAACTGTTCTTTTACTTATGGTTATTACCAAAAATAATATTCCAAGACAAAGTTGAATTAGGATATGAAGGGTCATCTATCCACTCAACAAGGCCATTTTTACCTGCAAGTACAAAAATTATTTATGTTATTTCTTTCAGGTGTTCATTAATTGTATTGAATAAATGTTTATAACAATCCTGCAACTAACACATCACATGACAGAAACCAGTAGTGGCAACAGCACGATAGCAACAGCAACATGTAGGAACAGAGAAAAAGGTTAAAAGATTGAAATGGTTTCAAGACCGAGGCATATTTTCCAAAAAGTAAGAACTCAGTAATAACATCATGTAGTACAGTAACTCCAAGTAATGAAATGCAAGAATGTAAAATTGTTTGAAGCTTTACTAATGACTAACTAAACCATGTTAGGCACATTATAGACCATTTGCAAAAGATGTGAAGGAAGCTTCATTTCTAGTAACTATCTAAAAGGAATTAAAGCACCAATAAGCTGTTGATAAACATAATTCCAAGACATAAATATATTTAAGGAGGTTTATGGACTAAAAAACAAGCATGTAACAGTGAAAAAAGCATTTCAATTGGATAAATTAAGCATAAAATTAAAGGGGGCGAAAAAGGTCCACCTCAGCAATGTAGAAGAAGAAGGAATCACCTTGAGCAACTACAAGGGACAAAGGTGCAGAACTTTTTATAGTGTAAAAGATATCAACCTTAGACCCTTTATTTAGGAAGTATACCCACTCCTGCAGGTAATTGAAGTAAATGTGATTGACACATCAAATAAACAGAAGCTCTACAACTCTACAATTTTTATGCATGAAAGACTTCAATTGGAAGTACAGCAAGAGAAAAGAAATTAGATTAAAGCGACGAGCATTGAAGAGAAATCACAATAAGAAATATAACAGGAAAAGGAAAAGGAAAACATTTGCCTTGTGAAAATCAATAGGCACAACTGCCTTGTGTGTTTCAGTCCAGGTGGTTTCAACATCCAAAGGAGGAGGCTTGTGAAATCCATATAATATTGGCCCAGGATTTGGCTCATATACCTCCTTTGCCTGTTACATAAAACAAATGAGATTGGTTAAAACAACTTGTTGCAGCAGCAGAAGTAACCCAAAACAGCAAGAGAAAAGTAAACCTCAATAGACTGAACAAACAAAGTATTGGTTTTGATAAGGCGAGAGCAATTTGGGCCCAGCTGGAAGGTCACTGACCCATAACACCCAAGAATGAGAGTCATGGATGCTGCAAATAAGGAATATTATAAGCAAATAAACAAAATCCTTTAAAAGCAGAGATAAAAGAAAAGAAAAAATAAAGGCTGATGAAAAGCAAAAAGGAGAAGAAACACATACCAAAGAACCAAAAAGTGACGAGAACAAAAAGGTATGACCACACATCATCCCACATCTCGCTGGGTGCCACATTAGATATGGTTATGTTTATTCGATAAGATATGACAGAAGCATGAGAAGAATGATGGCTAAGTTGATGGCGAGGATTATCCTCATTTCTTGGTAGCTCATTCCTTCCTTCCTCTTCTTCTTGAACTTGAGAAGTAGAAAGAGAAGAAGTAGAGGGACCATCAACAGAAGCCGAAGAAGAAGGAACAAGATGTTGATGTTGATGATGATGATGGAGATGATGTGCTTCTTCCATTCTGTCACAAATGAAGAGCAAAAACTTGAAGGTATTGTTGGAAATGGGATTCTGGAATTAGTCCATCTAACCAGAAGAAGAATTTGATAGGGAACAGCCACTGATGATTGAATTGGTGGACCCATGGTGGAGAACAACGGAGAGACTCAGCATTCATCTAGCAGTCTTTCAGGCCTACTCCTGACTGGTAGTTGAGTCAGTGGCTTCATTAATGACAGTTGGTTAAATAGCCCAGATGTAAATTGTAAAAAGAAATTAGAATATTGCCTCTCAACTATAAACTTCAATCATGAGATAGCACCAACACCTTTTTCAAATTTATGGAAAAGAAATCACAACATAATTAGATATTATTTATGCTATTTAGTTTATTTGGATTTTAAGAATTAAGATTAATATAAAATATTCAAAATATAAATAACTGTCACAAGTTAAGAAATATTGACTTGAAACTATTACAATTTAAAATTGTAAATAAAGCCAAAAACTAATTAAAAGAAGTCAAATAATTAGCCAAAATTAAATAATTTATACGAGGAAAAATTACAAATGCAACTAGCGCGTGTAATGCAAATAGAAAATAATAGAGGTAAGCCCTTGGTAGGTTGGACTTTAAATCAGACTGAATTAGTATGATCTGAAAAGTCAAAATTTTTTAAAACAAATATAAAATCCAAATTCGATAGATTTGATTTAATTTTTAACTATTTTTGAGTGAATTTCAGTTACTTCTTGGGCTTAATAAAAATTCAACCAAATCGAAACGATATTTCAGTTTTTTTATAACAAAATAAAAATCAAACCAAGTATGTTAAAAATCAAATCAAACCGATCGATTTGATCGGTTCTGTACGGAACTTTGTCGTCCAGTCCTATAAAATATGTTCGTAACAGGGGCTCCAGCAGGCCTTCCAAAGGGAAGGCCCATTTTAATTTCAGGTCCTCCACGTTTATCTGACCAATGACGCTTAACCAAAATATCATCGAGCCACGTGACATATTCCTATTGGATAACTATTCTCCTATAAAGGCCATCTATGATCTATCTTCAGTACCTAAGCCCAACTGACTGAGAATCGGAGACTCGAACACGAAGATGGCGAGATCGAGGTTGCTTGCTCTAGTTCTGCTATCGACTCTTGTTCTATGTGGAACCCTAACTGTTACTCAGGTAAATAACCTTTACTTTCCTCAAAATGAACTGAGCACTCTAAGATTTGATCGCTTTAGTATTGGATTTCTCTTTCTCTTTAAACATCTGGATCTATCAACTAGAGAATCAAGTCTCTCCATTTCTTCGGATATGGACATTGATTATGTTTGTTGATTGAATTTGAAATTATGGAAAGAACATTCCTCCTTGCTGATTCCGTTTATTTATCACTGTTGTGTTTTATGTCTTCGATTATGTTTTAATCAATGGTTGATTAGCTAGCAGATAAATTTTTGCAGGGAATATCTCATACAATTTTCAGAGCTTTATTTTTTATTTTTATTTTTATTTTTATTTTTTTAGGCGAAGAAGTCTAAGGAAGATTTGAAAGAGATAACCCATAAAGTTTACTTTGATGTTGAGATTGCTGGAAAACCTGCAGGTATATTTCGCTTATCTTAATACGATTACATATATATATATATATATATATATAAAGATTTGAAAGAGATAACGCCATAAAGTTCTTTACTTTGATGTTGAGATTGCTGGAAAACCTGCAGGTATATTTCGCTTATCTTAAAATACGATTACATATTATATATATATATATATATATATATATGAAAAGCTTTACTTTCTTGGAAATGGAAGTGGAAGTTCTTGCTGTTGGTCTACCATGGTAACAACTCTGTTAAAGAGGATGTTTTATTATCTCTAGCTATTTCTGTTTGCTCGATCTACTCTATTCCAAGATGTTTGATATTTTTCCAATCTTTGGTGTTTGTGTGTATATGTAAATTTTTCATATCATTTTCTGCTAAATATCAGTACTAAAATATATCTCTAAATATGAATTGTCATTCAGGCAGAATCGTCATGGGTCTCTTTGGGAAGGCTGTTCCTAAAACTGCAGGTGTGGAACTGGAAGTCTCTTATGGTGTATTATAAATGTTGCTTCCACTGATTCGTCATTTAGAATGGTACTAATGAATTGGTATGTTTTTTATTGCAGAAAATTTCCGAGCTTTGTGCACAGGTAAGATATGAAATATCTTTTTGTGAATAAGTAGTTCCTTTCTACATCAATTTGACTTCGTGTTTGCCCTAATAGCTTTTCTTCTATTACTAAATTGTGTTGAAAAACATTTGGATAGCTGATGCAGTGAGTGGTATTCTTAGAAACAAACTGAGAAAACATGTAAAGTGAATTTTTATGTATATGTATTGAATTTTTCTGTCCCCTCCATTGGAGTGACTCTTAGACCTTGTCTTCAATTCTCATTTTGAATAATTTTGTAAAAGCTGGTTTCATATCGTGTTTCTCCATTACAGGGGAAAAAGGTGTTGGGAAGAGTGGAAAACCCCTTCACTACAAAGGAAGTGTATTCCACAGGATTATTCCCAGCTTCATGCTCCAAGGAGGTGATTTTACACTAGGTGACGGAAGAGGAGGAGAATCAATTTATGGTGAGAAGTTCGCTGATGAGAATTTCAAGTTGAAGCATACGGGACCCGGTAGGATATATTTTGTTATATCAAGACTAGGATAATCTCAAATGAGATAGTATCGAAAATCTGGAATGAATAAACTTTTAAATCGTTTGTTTGACAGGGCTTTTGTCTATGGCAAATGCTGGTCCTGACACAAACGGTTCACAATTCTTCATCACAACTGTGACAACTAACTGGTAATTACGAAGTCTTGATGTGTTATGATGATTCATATAGATACTGTATTTTCATATCAAGTTATTTGCATAACCAAATTTCCAAATATGTAAAGGTTGGATGGAAGACATGTTGTATTTGGAAAGGTGATTTCTGGAATGGACGCTGTTTATAAAATTGAAGCTGAAGGACGACAGAATGGCACACCTAAGAGCAAGGTTGTGATCGCTGACAGTGGCGAAATCCCTCTTTAAATTTTCCATTTCTATAGAATGTAGCAACACTTTGAACTTCCCTTTTGTCTTTCTCTACGAGACTATGACTCTACGGTAGCTAATGTACCGAAATCTTTTAATTTTAAGTGGCTCTTTATAAAATGCTATGTAGGAAACTATATTCTACCGAGTAGAACCTCGCATTTCATTTTTTTTTAACGAAGGAATATCTGTGTATTGTTTTGTAATTGCAATAATTACGCCTACATGGATAGTTACTAGTCATTTCAAATAACTGAACATTTGAATTTGATATTATGCGTACTTCTTACGATTTTAACTCTTGGACAAACCATATTTAGAATGCATAAATTTATTTGCATCTTGAGATTAGAGAAATTTGTTTCCAATATCAAGAGAAGAAATAAGTATAAGCGAGAATTTTTATTTAATATTTTCGTAGATAAGATAAAAAAACTAAAAGCATAAACGTATGGCATTTCTGAAATTTCAATCCTAACCTATTTAAACCAAACAACAGATAGAAAAAGCTTGAAACACTGCTCGTATTTCCTTCCTTACTCTTATTCCAAAAGCCAGAAACCGAAAGAAGCAACATAACATGGAAAGTCAAAGTTGGTGAGAGCCTGAAAAGAAACATTCTCAAAAATAATTTGCCTTTTTATCCGCAACCGTCAACTATAGCTTCACCCCAATTCATTCCCCTTAAGTGCAAAGCTCACAAGAGTCGTCATCACTTGAATATGCTAACACTTGATTGCTTTAAAAATGAAATCGGCGAGAAATCCATACATAACAACACAGATGCAGACACTTGACATCAACATTATATTAACTCTGTTGAGATTTCCAGTCAAAGATCGAATGTGTGATACTCTGCTTCTCTCACTAAAAAACAAAATCGCACTACTTTTGCATAATCAGCTAACATAAAACAATTAGAAGTTGTCATTCAGTTATCCTTTTTGTCTTCTACCTGTGTTTCCAAATTGTTCATTTTTCAAAGGACTGGGAAGAAAGAAGCAGCTAGAACTCAGGTAGTCAAATCGACATCCTAACAAAGATTAACCTCCAAATAGGAAGCAGACTAATTCAATTGACAGGAGGAAAGGACGACATCATTGCTCAACATTATCCAGCAAAATATCCTTCTTGCAAATAAATCAAGTAGTTAATGTTTCATTTAAAGCAGAATTTAAGATTACAATAAGAAGATAGTCATAAGAAACTGCAGAAATGTCTTTGAAGGATGATATATGAGTGCCTTCCTCATCTAGTAAAGTAGTTGTCTTGAACAGTTGGTGGAACCCACAACATATATGGGTCTCAATTTCAAAGCTAATGGCAAGTTCAAAGAAAGAAAGAAAAAAAATTCATGCCAGGCAACGATAACCCTATCCCCCCTCACCACCAGATGTCAGCCAGTCTTCATTGCCCAAAAAAAAACATTAGAATAATGTTAGGACTATTAAGCTTATTTTTCCACTTATATAACAATTATTTCCTCCCTTCACCAGCCACTAATTCACCTTGAATCAATAACTAGCTATCACCATTATTTTCCTCTCCTAGTCCAGCTCTGCCCCGTATCAATAGCAACTGCTTTCCTTCCCCAAACCCCATTGATTCTACAACAAGTTTCACCTAGAAATATAGTTAATTCACCCTGCCCAACTTTTGTAAAACAAACAGCGGGCACTCTCAAGCTTGCCAAAGAAGGCCTACTTAAAGATGCTCAAATGATAAATTCATTCTGCCTCACTACATTTGTCAGGGGCAATTATCACCCATCAGAGTCATGAAAGGTAATATAATCTAACAAGTGGATTTGCTACTGCCATTTGCGTTACTGCAGTAGTCCAACGACAGCAAGACTAGGAGATTAGAGTTGGCTCATGCTAGTATAATGGACTGCCAATCTACAGTTGACTGTATATAATAGTTGTGGCGTCCCTCTCTTTCTACTCTTCTACCGGCATTACATACAAATGAACTAAGCCTCTGGCAGTGAATACAATTCTGCATTTACTCATATGAACTATGAACTCCCCTGTTTAGGATGAAATAGAGCAGCCTAAATAACAACAATATAGAACCATTCAACTCAAATGTCTCATCAGGCCTATGTTGAAAGTTCTGCAAGCAAATGTTATTCTCAAAGCAAAATATACTGATCCACATAAAATATCAACCAGAAACTAATAATAAAAGAAAAGCATGAAATGAAAATAGCAAAACAGAACATAAATACCTTATTACTTCTGCGGGGGTTTCAGATAATGGAGATATAAGCAGACCCGCAGCCATGAAATGATCCTTACAAAACACAAACAAACATAACAATAATCACCACATAAGCAAAACATTATTGTTATCAACCCCAGCGGCCACCGCTACCACCTGAAAGACTGCCTTACTTAAGAAGGACCTAGGAAACAGAGACTCAATAAAACCAAACACCTTTGACTCCAATATGACCATGACACGACCTCAGTTAAACTGCTTATTAATTGACTATAAGATAAACAAAGTTGGTCGAGATTACTTAAATTCATCGATCGAATCAACAGTCCGTCCTCTCCACACTGCTTCCGTTATTGATGCGACGCCGTTCCTGCACGACGTTGGAGAAATTGACCGATAAATCGGAGTAAATAGAGATGACTTTCGAGATATTTCGATTAATCTCTCGAATCAATGGAACGTTCTTCGCCATATTATCGGGAATCCTGGACTGGTGATTCTCGTTCACTTGATGAATAAGGTCCCTGTTCTGATCCAACACGGACTGCACCTGCCTGAAACTCTTGCAAAGCGTATTCCAAACCTCCTTGTCACACTCTTCCTCCTCAATGTCATCTTCATCATCTCCTCCTCCATCCTCGCAGTTGTTCGATCCTCCAGGGAGGGGCTTCTTGTTGTTGCTTTTGGAGAGAGAGTTGAGTTCTAGTTTTGGTTTAGATGAAGTGGTGGTGTCGTCCATGGTCGACTCTTCCACCAGTGAAGATGACTCAAACGTTTTCATACATAATACAGCCTCTCTCTCTCTCTCTCTCTCAATCTCAGATTTCTGTTTTCTGTATAGCAGAAATGGCCGCAATTGGACCCCGAAATTTTTGTTTCCAGAGTTTTATATCTTGTGGTAAGAAAGAGAAACGAAGCGGGTCAGAGACCAACCGACTTGGCCATGGCGGTCTATTGTAGTTGGCTGTGATTGAAGTATCTGACCATTCAATCATATGTTTTTTTGTAAAAGATAACCAGCCAATTGGAGACTTTTGATTGGTCTGTCAGAATAATAAATCTTCGTCTTGGACGGATAATACAGAAGCTTTCATTAGAAAACAAAAAGAACAATAAAAGAAAGCCGAGGCTTTACTACTGTGCTGAGATATTTTCGAGATATTTTAGGTTTTTCTGCTCCCATCATATTCCCATGTTTACTGATGTCATAAAATACTGGTAATAAATAACCATAACGAGCTCTGCTTTCACACACAGATTTGAGCGGTCTCAGCTTTAAATCGAACAAAACGACGACGAAATAGTATGTTGCTAAAATCCGTCTCATTTCGATTGGTACATTGGCAAGTTAAAATAACTGAAATTGAGATTTCGGTGATCCTTTGTTGGTTCAAACTTGGACGGGACCGATTGTTGCTCCCAATGTTTACAAAACCTGTTCATAAGTCGGTCCTAGATTTGTAAAATGTCAAATTTTCCAAAAATTGAACCCGCTGAACCTGCAATCTTCACAAATTCACGACCTCAGTTAATCAAATTAACTGCAGTTGCAATCCAAGCCGAGCACTAAATTAAACTAAACTAAACAGTAAAACACATAGTTCAAACAACTTTTTTTACATGATAATCCAGGGGAGTACTGTCAGCCTACAAAAGGCAGCTGTATATCCTGAGACCATATATTAGTTATCATCGATACAAGGTGTATACAAATTCGTTAAGAGGCACTTAATCTATCAGATCATTCTAGGAACAGCTATTTCTAGCTAAAGCCTTTGACCAAACTAGATAAATGAAACAAGTTTCTACATAAATATGAACATCTGAAATCTGTCGTCTCCTGTAAATGAACCATGCCTCTGCAGTGACTGTTTTCTAGAAGACCAAAAGAAAAGTAAGTGTCAATAAATCTTGCAGGATAAGCTGGATTAGTTGAGGTAGGGTTACTCAGTATCACTATTTGAATCCAGAAAGCTATATTCTTTGAATCCATCAAGCTTAATTAGCACTGTTCCTCGGTTCTCTTCGCTCCATCTAACACCTTCCATTTCCAGAAGTTCAATAATCTGCAAGTACCAAATGGCAAGATGCATCAAGCAACAACCCAGAAATTTGCCCCTTTGGCTAAAGAAACAAAAGGTTCATGGGGCTAGTCATGAAAGTAATCAAGAAGTTGAGGTTAGAGATATGAATTCGTGCATAAATGCCGATATGCTCCGAACAGAAAAAGGCCAACAAGAAAAAAAAAAAAATCAGCATTTATTCCATGGCATAAATCAATGCAAATCACATGGGTTAACTCAACAAATTAACATCTATCAACTAGGCAAGGACTGAAAGGTATTCCATAAGAGACTACAGACTTTGATTTTGCTCCAAATAACCGCGATTTAAGGTTTCAAATTGTTCAACACAATATGATCCATTGAAGCTTGCTTCAGACTAGGCTATGCTCCCAACATCCCTAACCACTTTGTTCAATTAGAAATTTGATGCCATGGCATCTCATGCAAACTAATAAAATTGTATCACCAACAACTACATGCCACGAAGAAACACTCTAAAGCATCAAAATCACTGTTGCAACTATATGATTTCTGTTTTCATACTCTTAGATGTACCAAAAAAGTTGACACATAGGCCAGAAATCAATGGACAAAAGAAAATCTCAAGCATTTGACTCTTAAATAGTTTTCCAGAATAGGACACAACAAAGTAGTAGAAATGCTACAGAAAGAAGAAAAATACCGATTGTTTGAGTTTCGATTTTCCCACGCCATGACTCCCACATCCTGTGATTACTCTCAGAGTTTGGATTGCTGGAGCAGATTGCAAATGGTTGGTAAATAAGATGATAAAATGTCCATATAATCAGAAGTGCCAACATGCACAGAGACCAGAAAAACTGGGAGTGCTTGGTGCAAAAAACACTTACAGTGGACATACGTGCCAAATAGAAGGTGAAGCTTCAATAGCTTCATTGCTTGTTTGACATGCTGCCCATGCAAATCAATTGTTATTACATTTTCTATGCCCTTGTTTCTGCAAAAGGCGAGCAATAAGTAAGTCCACTTGTGAATATCAAAGTCGAGCCAGATAAACAAAATCATCTCTATCCTTTATGGAACTCTATCATGCACCAACCTGGCTTTAAATATATCCTGGCTTGCTCTTTCATCTGCCTGTCGAGCCAATTTTGTCTGTACTTTCCCCTGTCCAAGTTACCAGGTCACTATCTCATTAAATTTCACCAGCTAAATGCAAATTAAAACATCACAGGGATCCCCAAAAGCCCAAAAGAAAGGTAAAAAAAAGAAAATTTTGTCATCAATGTCCAAACCCGCCATATGGCAGCTGCATTGCAGCCTGAAGGTATTTAGATCATGTCCTAAATAAAATGACACGAGCACATAACAAGTTCATAATGTAAGCTATAAACAGCAGCTTAACTGGTAACGAGATGCAAGAGCAAAACCATTGAATGAAGTTAAAAAATTCTAGCACCGACACAGTTTACACATTGTGGCCTTCTCAATCTAGGTATTCTGCCTTCAATGATCTAATAGCTAATCAATATATATTTGTAATATGACAAAATTAAAAGGGCAAAAATAAATATATCTTTAAAACCATAAAATTTTCTTGAGAAGCAGGGAAGTCTAGTTAGCAGCTACACTATGCCCAATTGTCATCCATTATGCACCTCACAACTTTAAAGAAAATATATTAGATAAGGTTGTTGAAAACAATAAAATAATGGAGTAGATAATGATAAATGCCTAAAACAGAAAGAAAAATGTACTTCCTGAAGCAAACTCACCTGGTCAGAAAGATAAGCTGCAACCTGCCGCTCTCCATTAGAGTATGCTTTCGTAGCCTGCAGAATAATTTGCCTCTCAGATGTAGTACAACCAGAATTTCTAATCACTCTTCAGAAATTGAATGTAGTGTTGAATATTATCATTAACATTGTAACACTTACTCTTTGATAGTAGGATCTCACTGAATCCCAATGCTGATTAGCAGGTTTTCTAAATAGATGATACTCAGCACCCTTAGCTATGATCAAAATGCAGGTAAGCAGCAAAACAAAGATATGTTAGAATTATTTTCCATGTGTTCCAGGATAGACAATTTAGCATTCATTGCCAATAGCAGTTGCACCAAGTGCAAAGCTAAATTACGAGATGGCAACAGAACCATGTTGAAAAAACAGGTTCTAGAAGTGTAACTAAAAATAAAGAATTACGTAATATGAAATACCACAAGTCTCTTGTAGAGGAACTGCATCACTAGGTGGGCAGATACCATGCCCCAATGACTGCATTTTCTTGACCACATTCCGCCAATTCATAGTGCCTGGTTCATGTTCAGAACTTCTGGAGATGTTAAACAAAGATTCCAACACCTTTTGAGCGAGCTCTGACTCATCACTTGGGCTGGTTGACGGAGCTTCAAAACTAGTAAGGACCTGAGAATAATTCCTAGAACACAAAAAAAAAAAAAAAAAAAAAAAAAAAAAAAAAAAAAAAAAAGAAAAAGAAGAAAAAGAAAAAGAAAAAGAAGCTAAGCTTACAAATTGGGTAAGGTCCCTTGGATGATATGATTTTTATATATTAAGACAAAATGGTCTAAAAAGAAAGTAAATCCATAGACCAAACTACAAAAAAAAAAAAAAAAAAAGAAAAAGAAAAAGAAAAAGAAAAAGAAAAAGAAGCTAAGCTTACAAATTGGGTAAGGTCTTGGATGATATATTTATATATTAGACAAAAATGGTCTAAAAGAAAGTAAATCCATAGACAAACTACAGATTAGTAGCTCAATCTAAAAAATCCTTCCCATAAAAGAAAAAAAAAAACAGAAGTCATTATATAACAACATATCTAGCTTTGTGGCAATATGCGATCATGTTGAATCAATAAACAGACAGTTCAGCACACTTAACAGCAAGTCTGATGGTGACAAGATCAGTAGGGCATTGAAATTAAGGTCCTGGTACCTCTCTCATATTTTTTGGTGGCTACAAAAACTTGACACAATTGATCAAGAGTTCGAGGGTTGATAAAGCGAGGATGAGAGGTCCAGTCAACATGTTCACAGCATAGTTGTCTTCCTTGAAAATATTATCATTAAAAATGGGGTTAACAGTTGTTTAATAAGGAACCTGAGTGTGAAACAAGAATAACATGCACATTAGAGACTAATCGCATGTATGGAAAGGTCGAATGTAATGGAAGATGGAAAATAAGACAAATGCCTTAAAAGTGAAATGAAAGGAATTTTTCCATTTATCCAAGGAAGGAAGGGAAACATTACATGGGACCCCAAATATATTAATTTGGAGAAAGAAAGAGGCAACATGAAATTACCCCTCCTTCTCCTGATCCTCCCAAGTATCCAAAGAGGAAGGATTAATAGTTTTCAGTTCACTCAATACTTTTCCTCTCTTTATTTTCTTCCTCTCAATTATGGTCCCAAACAATGTAAAGTGGCAAAAAGATTTAGGAGGAACAGAACCCATCAATAACATATTCAATTTATGTAGTTTATTCTAACAGAAATATTTCCCTTGTACTTTAAAACAGCATTGTGGAATATATATAGGACTCACAATGACAGATTCATACCCACATATAGACATTAAGTAAGCACGCAAGACACAAATGTTGGCACATGAAAGGCTACCCATTGAGCAATGCGCATTGCAACAAGAATGACTAAAAGAGTAAAATACCTGCAATCATAACCCCATATACTTTCATGAACTTCACTTTCAGCTGAACTGGAAGTACAGTCAGATGTCCTATCTGTCATCTGATAAAAAAACAAATTCAATAATCACTACATAAACAAGAAAACACAGTTGACGCTTCCAAATATATAGCTAAGAACATTAAAATTTTAAAAACACAAAAACAGGATTTACATATTTAGGGGGCGAAACTACAAAAGACAAAAGCAAAAAGAATAAATAGATATATGGGACCAAAACAGATGAAACATACTACAGTATCAGCATTTGAAGCCTAGGCATAATAGACAAAATTACAGAATGCTACACAACAAACTGAATTGCCAAAAGGAAAATCATGGACAAATTTGTAGAACATGCACTCAAATTAGCTCAGTATCACTATTTCATAATTGGCAACACTGAAACTCAAATATAAGTGCATTGAAACCTAATCCTTTAATCAGCAACATGCAAACAAACATAAACAGTTCAAATAAATACAAAAACGAACAGACAACAGATAGGAGGGTTGTTGCCATTATACAAACAAACACACTGACAAAACACGAGTCAGCTTGTTCAATCATACGAGTTCACGACTCAATAAGAAACACATGTTTCAAATAGTGTCACAAATTGTTGCAGTTTGAGATTGGTGTAATATTTCTCATTGCCTCAGTAACATAATTAAAATTGTGGCTCAAATTTGTGTTTTCCTATCTTTACATTCTGCAGTTTAAATATTAAAATTCTAAAATTTTATCACAAGGTTTTGATTGTCATGGCAACAAAGCAATGGGTTCTTGGGTATTTAAACTTTTATATGGCCACTTCAAAGCTTTGACATGAAGATGATAACTCAAGCATAGAGATGCAGAGAACTAAAACATCAAGGGAGCAAAGAATGAAAAAAGTGATTTGTAAAAAAAGAAATAAAGAAATGGTGGATAGTGGTGGTTGGGCACAACAATTATTGATTTTTAAAAAATTTTTCCAATAGAAGGTTTGACAGAAAAAATATATATTGGAAATTGAAAATCTGAAGAGAAAAAAAAAGAACCAGAGGAATTATAAAGCAATTAAAATAACTCAGCAGATGAATCCAAATGACATTTTCCAAATTTGAGTTCTTTTGTTTTAATTTTCATAATCAACTTGGTTAATTCCTCAATTTTAAATAAGCATATCCCTTGTTGGCTTAATATGTAAATGCATTTTAGCTTACAGTTAAAACTTAATACAAATGTCAAATATGATTTTCATATTTATATTTAAAATTATAGAAAGACAATTAATTGATTATATATATTTTAGAACTATTTTATATGATTTATAAATTCTTACATTTTTACTATTCGATTTAATGGACTCTCCATTGATCTTAGTTACAAACCCGATTTTGAGAACCTTGATTCTAAATGATTAAAATAAACTTTATTCACTAATTTTATACTAGTACTGAACTGAAAAACCATAATATAATAAAGATAATAAAAGCATATCACAAGCTAGGAACATTTTTTTCAATCACATCATCCAGACAAAAAAAAAAAGGTAGGGCAGCATTTTTTAAAGCACAGAATTAACAATACCTTCCTACATAATAGCAAGCCAATGATAATTAAAAAGAAATTACCCAAGAAATCATCAAGGTTAAGTGATGCATATGACACCACTTACATTATCATTATGCTCAACAAGGAAAGTGTTATCTTCTTTATGAATCATGGTATCATTAAAGTATCTACTATTCCCAGACTGCTCATAGGAGGAAGCAGATAAATCAAGCAAGACATTAGAAGCCTGCAAATTAAAAAATACATTAAAACAAATTATTGTTTTAGGAAAAAGATGAGAAAAAAAGATTATCAAATTAAAACAGCCATCAATTATCATCCCACAACTAGTTCCCAAAAGGAATCCTTTTAACTATAAACTTCATTTGCTTTTCATATGGCACATCATTCTGTCAAAGGCAACTTTTTTCCCTTAGATGGTGATCACAGTGGGTGGTAATACTGAAGCGGGAATACGAAAAGAAAAGATATTAATCAAAGTCTAAAAGATTTTCAGAATTTCTTCAATACCTTTTCAACATCATATCCACACTGACCTGCAAAAGAAAAGTTTTGAAGTCATGCATCACACAACTGCAGAATCCTCAAAATACAGTATTCATTTCAATCATGAAAAATAATAGATCTATGAAGCATTGACTAAAATATCTTGTACATGCTACTACAGTCTACAGTTCAATTGTCATAGACTATCATTGTTCATGGAGCACCAATACAAAACAAATAAACAGTAGAGATCGAGGAACCAATCGCCGCTAAATTAGAAGAAAACAAATTTCACCTACAATACAAGCTCACTATTGTGCCAATCATTTTAAGAATTCACATGGTTTAGAGTAAATTCACTTCCACGAGATGGGAAATGCATGAAGAAGATCTACTCTCAGTATAAGGAGAGTAATCTCCGACTGTGACTAAGATTTAAAAAAAAAAAAAAAGCTACCCCGTCATGTTTGTACCTATAGTCGCCGATCTACGTCGTCTCCATTGATCATTTTTTACCCCAACAATTGTTTATGCTTGTCATATTTATGGTTCAGTATTTTTAATACAAAGGCTTAATGAAAGCTATAATCAGAAAAAGAATACATAAGTAAATGCTCACACAGGACATCTCTAACAACAGCCATGCTAAGGTCGGAATCATCACTAAGCATTGAACATAAGAATTGCTCAGCCTCTTCCTTGGCCACAGCACCATTACCAAACTTCTTTGCTTTGGCGGAATATCTCCCCGGGCTTGCCTTCACATAGTCCTTTCCAAGAAGCGTTGAAACGGTCCCCGTAACAGCCACGGCTCTCTTCTGCTTATTGTTACCTCGAAAGCCCTTTCTTTTTACCAAATCAGCCTCCAAGTACCCCTCCGACGAGCCCGAACGCGAAGTGGTACTACTAGAACTCGAACCAAAACCCGAAGTTGAAGTCAAGTCAGAACTCGATAACCCACTCGTGGACGGATCGTCCGCGCTGTCGCTCAAGTTGGATAATATCCCAGCCGCTTTGTAGATATCACCGTCGGCTTCTCTACAAGCCGAGGAAACTTCTTCTAATGAGATCGAATCAAAAGCTTCCATTAACGCCAACGCAGCTTTGGTTTCTTGCTGTTCATCTTGTTGCCCCTTGTGGTTGCCGGAGGGATTGGAGGCGCGTGCCGGCTGTTGCTTCTTCTTCTTCTTGGAATGCTGCTTCATGGTTTTGTAGGGATTGGAGAGATTATTATCGCACGAATCGGAGAGTGATTTTTGTGGAACCCTAAATTGTTGGGGAAGAAAGAGGAATTGGATTCGGTGCTAAAGATTGAATTACTGAAAATAACAAGTAGGGAGAAGGCAGGCAGGCAGTTGAGAGTTATTCAGGTCTCAATTCCATGACCATACGCTAAATTGAGGAAGGAATCTCTACTGGTACTTTTACGCGTTTCGTCCACGCTCTGGTACGGAATCTTAGTAGCACGCGCTATTGTCCTGAGATGAGGATTAGGATGGATTAAGGATAAGTCAAATTTGATTTGGTGGATCAGACATCAGTGTTTCTTTTTTTAAAATTCAGACATCAGTTTTCTGTTCGTTTAATATAACATTTAGATTTATTCTGCAATTGGTTATGATTCAGTTAAATTTGAATTTAACCTTATTAACTAAATTAATCGAAACAAATTAACTTAATCAAACCGTACCAACCAAATTGATCTGACCATATGCATGCTTTTGTTTTATTTTATTTTTATTGATTGAGTGTCTTTTTTTTCCAATTAAAATCAATTAATTTGATTTTCATTGCTATATATTGCAATGCAGTTAAAAGTTTATCCGGTCAACTTGATTTGATTAGATTAAATACAATTAATAAATATTCGTCACATATTAGGTTATAATAAATTTTTAAATATTGAGCTAAAAATAATTACAGTTTGTTTATTTTTTTTATTATTTAAACTTAATATATTATGTGTAAATTATTTTAAAAATTAAATTAAACTGTTTTTGTTTGATTTTTAACTCAAAACAATTACTTTCCGTTTGAAAATTTTAAACACCGTGATAGTTCATTTAATTTGAAAATTCTTATAGACTGCCCTAAATCAGATCGTGCATATAGTTACTGCTCCCTGTCAAAGATTTGGATATCTGATATTATTTAATTTAATTTTAACTGTTTTTTTAGATATTGCTAAGAATGGTCCCATGATAAAATAAGATTCAAAGGTTCTTCCTTTTTCAATTTTCATAATGCAACAACATTTATTACATCATAAATTTTCAGAAAAATAACAAAATCTATTAATAGTTCTTAAAAGTGGAAAATACACACCAAGCAAAAAGTTCCATCTTTCATGCCAAATATAAATATTTTTATTTTTTTTGAAGATGAAAATATAAATTATATTTTTTTTAGCGTAAATATTTTTATTATATTGACTTGTTTTGATAAGTGTACATATGATGAAAAGGCCAGTAATTAGATTTTTATAATTTCTTTCTAATTTTTTTTATTATTAAAAAATAAACAATAAAACAAATCAAATGAAAATACATGCAAACGTGTCGGTGAAAGGCGACTGGTAGCTATTACATTATGTGCATCTTCTTCTTTTTCTTTTCTCTGAGAATTATGTGCATATTATTTATTGGGTTGATTTAAGCAGTTGGGAACCATAACCACAATTTACAACCAACAACAACTTTAAATCTGCATTTATTCCTCAATTACTGGCTCCAACGAATACAAAGAGAGCTTCTGGAAAAAGATACGTAACCAAATTTATTTGATACCAGAAAAGAACAGGGTGAAGAAGAGCAGCTTGGTGCTCCAATTGTGTCATGGCTTTCCGTTAACTGCTATCACAGGTTGCCCCGTGCAATGGGGGAGGATACCCTGCTCCATTGCTGCGGATTCTTGAGCAGCTGATAATTTTGCTGCGCCAAGGGAAGAATGGAACTGTTCATGCCCCGCTGGCTTCAAGAACATTAGACCATTATCACTTTTTTCGGGATGCAGACTCTGCATTTTCCTTCTCTGAACCTCATCCTTCACTTTCTATATGACAAAAAAAACAAAAAGAAGTTGAAAACAAACATGCTCGACCTACCATGGATGAAAAAATTCGAAACATTGAAATTGGAAAGACATGACTTTTAAAACTTCAAAATCATTTCTTCTATAGATTATCTTTTTTACAAACATAAGAATTGATAAAATAGAATCTTTTAAATTGAATTCTTGCAAAATTTAGCTTTACAAACAGGGGGTTACACAATTTGGAAATGATCAGGAAATCATTTCGAATAATCCTCATTTTCCTCAAAGCAATAAGTTTTAAAGGAGCAGACCTAGAAACTAATCATATCTTTATGCGAGGAACCGATGAACGCCCCTCAATATGGAGAACATCATGGCCAAAATTTAACTAAAAAGCAAAAGACAAGTAAAATTCCTTTCATTTGAAAAGCAGAAAGTATACAACAAACTTTTATTGTTGATAACCATAGAAAGTGGAATTCTTGGAGGACATTCTTCAAAATTAGATTCTTATGTCCCAGGCCAGCCACAGAAAAAGAAAGAGACTCCAATAGAAATGTTCCTTGCAGGACTTTTGATTTCTTATAGCATCCGGCACTAAACTTTTAAAAGCAAATATTAAACTCATGGAGTTCTTTAACCAAAAGCCACTTTAAATAAAGGGCAAAGTTTTTTGTACTTTTTCCGAATCCTGCTCATCTTCCAATACCAAACGATGGTCACTTTCCTTACCAACCATAGCTTACAATAGTATCCTTGAATAGGAGCCAGATTATCACCGTATGTTAAACAAGAAAATGAGAACACTGAAGCTCCTATTCTCCAGGACTCCTGCATTTTAATTTTCTGTTCAAACTTCAACCAACCTAAACACAGTTGCACCAAGTAATCTAACAGCAATCACTTATCTACATATTCCTTCTAAAAGGAAACAACGGAGAAAAAGAAAAAACACAGAAGGCCGGTGTACTAGGTTCCTGTCAATGAGGAATCTGCCAGTCTGGGAAGAGTTAGCTGCCCTCAGCCTTCCCCCTACACTACGTTGGAAATAATAGCCTAACACAACATTAACACCTAAATATCCACATATGCCATATAGAATGTAGAAATATATGTTCCCAGCTAAGAATCTTCATGAAGTATTCATTTCCCCCGGCATTTAAAATTTCATCGTGGACAAGGAATCATGTCTAGGCTCTAGCCTAATATGAAGCTTAATGGTTACAAATGATAAAGATAACTAGCTCCACCCAAATTAATAATCTAGTTTTTTTTTTTTTTTTGTTCTGCATAATTTAGTGATTAAGATTAAAATATCATCCTCATCTAGATTCTTATGAAATAGAAAGTAGCAACTCGGTCTGCAGTGTCCCCTTTGGAATTATATTGAATTGTGGTTTTGTGGTCCACATACAAGTAAATAACAAACTTCTTTCAAATAAAAAAAAAAAAGGGTCCAGCATTTACTCTTTCTTGGACACTGCAAAGATGAAAATTTCCTAATCAACCTGCATCATGCAGCCAATGCTCATTTCCCAAGTATTTTGATTATGTTTCACAGTTTCAACGGTAATTTATCCCACTAAATTTGTGAACTTTAAAAACTAAAAAGTAATTTCGTTCCCCTTCTTTCTTATAACCATGATAAACAACTATCAAAAACTAAATTTCTCAGCAAAGGAATCAGCTCATAAAATAATTAAATAAATAAAATGTTTGGAAATGAACCTGCAGCAGCCTCAAATCAAAAAAAAAAAAGGGTCCAGCATTTACTCTTTCTTGGACACTGCAAAGATGAAAATTTCCTAATCAACCTGCATCATGCAGCCAATGCTCATTTCCCAAGTATTTTGATTATGTTTCACAGTTTCAACGGTAATTTATCCCACTAAATTTGTGAACTTTAAAAACTAAAAAGTAATTTCGTTCCCCTTCTTTCTTATAACCATGATAAACAACTATCAAAAACTAAATTTCTCAGCAAAGGAATCAGCTCATAAAATAATTAAATAAATAAAATGTTTGGAAATGAACCTGCAGCAGCCTCAAATCAAACTTTGGCAATCCAATTTGTTCAACCGTAAGCGAACCGAAGAAGTTACCAAGCAAGGCAGCATCAGGCACAGGCAATCCCTGAACCAACCCTGCCACAAACCCACCTAAGAAACTATCGCCTGCACCAGTTGGATCCTGTTGATTGGCCAAAAATGGCGAAATGCTCAACTCCCCATCTTTCCAATACACCGTACACCCTTCTTCCCCATTGGTCACCACCACGCAACAATACTTCCTCACCTCCTCCACATCCATAAACATGGCCTCCTCTGAGGACACCTTTAAAACCCCAATTCGAGGTAATAAGGAAAAAAATCTGGTTTCATGTAATTGAACAAGCTTAACAGCCCCATCAACAACATCAAAATCCCTTATTAAAGCTTGAATATCCACGAGAACCACATCACAAATCTCAATCATTCTCTCAAGCGTCTCAGGCAATACCTCTCCGCCAACACCAACCGCCATTCCAAAATCAAACCTCGCGTCAGGAAGATCCGTTGGCTTAATCGAGTCACAGGCGCATATCCGTTTCAAGACCCGATCTTGGTTACCATTATCGTGTACACCCAAATCAAAATAGGCGTGAAATATTGTAGTTTTGAAAGAAGGCGCTAGAATCGGGATTTGATTAACTTGATATCTAAAATCATGCCCAACTTTAGCAATTAAACTACTAGCAATTGACATCCCATTGAGGACGGCGGAAATGAAAGAGCAAGCGCCGCCGAGAGATTCACCAACGATGGTGTCGTTTTGGATTAAAACGTCATGGCAGTAATTGCCCACAATTAGGACACGAGGAGTGGGATTTTGGTGGGTTTTGTGGGCTGTGGTTACCATTGAAAAGAAGGTGGATGGTTGGCTCGGATTTGTGGTGGGTCATGGAGTAAGAGAGAGCTAAGAGAATGGGGAGAAAGACATAGAAATCCAAGAGAAATACACAAATTTTAAGGAAATAGAAATGGACAAAAAACAAATGGAGTCAGCGTATATGTGTCTAGAGATGGAAAGAAACAGAGAGAGGAGGCGCACATGAAAGAGATTTGTTGTGGGAAATTTATAGAACGCAGAGGGCGAGGTAAGTGATGGATGATGGTCCTGTCCTGTCTGTCCTGGTTGCGTTGAAGCGCTAAAGACATACATGCATATCTTTTTAAATGAAGGCCCTTTATTTCAATCTAATTACCAAAATTGTGATCAGATATTATTTGCAAGCCAGAATAGGAAGACCCCATTCCCATATATCACGTGTAAATTTTTGCTTTTTTTGAAAAAATAATATTTGAATTTGGAAAAAAAAAAACAAAAAACTTTTCCTTCTTAATGCCATAACCAATGATAATGAGGAGCTTAAGAATCTGATTCAAATTCTATTACAGATAGATGGAAGGAAATATAAGTCATCAACTAAAACTAAAAAGCTTTGAATCCGATCCTTAGCTAGCTTGTTTGCAGCCAGTAATTAAAAAACTTATTTCCCCTTTGTTATGAATGGGAAATAGCTTCAGAGGTCAAAGAATTATGCATCCACGCCCACACCATAGGGATAAAGGACGACAAGAGTCTAAAGATGGACACCCGATAATAATAATAATATGATGATGATGGTGATTAATCGGCTCAAGAACGTACAGCTGACACATCGCCAGACCTGCAACTCTTATCATCAAAATCCCTACCCCCATTTTAGTAGCCATACCTACCCAATCTTGCGGGCTTATAATCTTATAAAAAAAGGAGAGATATGAATATGATAGACTTACTATAAAAAAGGAGAGAGATGCAAAATAATGATTTTGCGCTTCAAACAAGAAGATTCAGCAAACCATGATTTCTGATTTACGTGATGTCGTCACTTGTAAATTAAAAAAGTATAACTTTTCAGAAAATGCATATGCAAAGTAAAAAATAGGTCATTTTTAATCAAATGAGTCCTTAGTAACTTATTTTTTATTCATACACATTTTCGTTGTACCAAAAAAAAAGAGAAAAGAAACCACTTCCTCAAAAAGTTAGGAAAAATAAATAAACATTTTAATCAAATACGTTTTGTTTATTTTTTAAGACCAAAGAATAAAAAACCAAAAACCAGAACAAGAACAAATACCTCCTAAATGTTTCTCCTTTCAACTAACTCTGAGTATAATAAGCATTGGTTATCAACTTGTCAAACCCAAAAGTCGAAGATAATGAACTTTTAACAAGGTACGGAAGCTATACAATAAGAGTACCAAGGCGCAGAGAAATTTTACACAGCTAACTTCATTTAAAATTAAACAGGTAACCACATCTTACTGTGCTTATTACAGATGATGCCCATAATCTTGGCTGACAAGCTAATCAAATCCTGAAAGTTAAATAAGGACCAAGACAAGAATCATCGTACATTGTTTTAAACTGCACAATGGTCAGGATTTTAATGACACTCAGCATCTAAGCACACCAAGGTTGTCAACCAGTGCGGATCCCCCCCATAAATGTCCTAGGATCAGGGCAGTTTCCCGAGAATTGAGCCTGTGAGAAGTCAAAACCAGGATTCTGCAAAAAGTAATACTATGATTAAAAACATTACATCCAAGAGGAAAAGAATTATCTTGTGGCAAAATTTTGAACAATATGGATAAGATTAATACTACATAGATACTCAATTCGTTGCTCATATGATGTACCAAGTTAACCAAAACAAAATTATTTAAAAGGCAAACTTAGCAGTAAACAAAATGAGTCGTGTCATAGTCAGTAAGCACATACTGATCTAATTGCAGCTTTGCTTAAATGACAAAGCATCTTCTGAACATTTGACCTAATGTTCACATACTAGTGTAATAACCCATACTAACAATATAAGTCCTTACAGATTCATTATAAAAATAAGGGTCCGAAGCATTGGACATATGACAATCATAATCACGGGTTTATATAACAGAATTGGTAGCAGTTCCAGTATCGAACTGTATCATCTCATATTGGAGAATTTCACCCAATGGTACCCTTAAAAGAAATCATAAAATGACTCAAACGAATACTAATACAAGAGTTCAACTAAGATGCATTCATCTAGTTAATTTAACAAATTATAGTCGTCTAAAAGATATAATAACTAAACAGCAAGAAAGACCAAAAACACACCTTATTTTACATAAAACTTTTGAAGCACCCCTAGTAAATAAAATAACAAATGAAGTGTTTAAATGTCAAAATAAAAGTATTTTGATGCTAAGCAAGAATCAAGGAGGCTGGTACGAAAGAAAGAGAGAAGAAGTGTTCTGCAGCTCCGGGTAAGTGAGATTTTTAGCAGAAATTTAAAAATTGTAGTTCCAGGATCTTCATATCAGTAACAAATGTTGCAGCTATTGTGTAACAGGTGCATCGAATTCTCTCTATCCACTGCCTCTGAATCCAAATTCAGTCCTATATTGCCTAATCCCACATTGGTCATAAAATTCTGTTATACAATCTGTCTCAACTGCTTTCTAATATTTGTCATGGTATAATTGGTTTTATTGCACAAACCTGGAATCTGGGATGATTCCTGAGTGCAATATACAGTTTTTAACTGTTTGATAGAGTAGCAGTGGAGTAGCCAACAAAGAATAGAAAAGAAAAACCTTTGAGTTTCAAACAATTTAAAAGACATGAAATAGTTCCCAAATTGCAAAACACATTGAATGTCTCCTTTGTCAGACTTTTAACCAATCCTCAAGACATAAATGATCCTTCTTGATGGATCAAAAAGTAAATTGGACATTTCTTAAAGGCTCAAATTCATCCAACAATAAAGTTATCATAGCACTTCATTACATACAAACAAAAACTCTCAACTCCTAAATTCATTCAACCAAGGGGCTCGGCTTCAAGAACACTTTACACTGCAAGGTTGCACCAACAAAGTACCTAAAATTTGTTTTCATACAAAGTATTTGACTTGTAGCTAGCTGCTAAGTGAGCACTTCGTTTGAAAGAAAATAGGTCACAAATGAACACGGAGGCTTTAATACAGAAAATGAGAGCCCGAAATAGAATGTTTGGAATAAGATTGCAAATTTTATATGGAAATAGGTTCATTTTGCCCACCCTAAACTTGGGTCAGAAGTTCAAAATGCCCATTTTAAATTTTTTGGCCAAAAAACCCCGTAACTTGGTAAAATAGGTTCAAGAAGCCCACCTGTTGGGCTGAAGTTATTGTGTGTAACACACAGCTGTACAAGGTCAAAAGAAGAAAAAATAAATCAAATTTAATTTTTTTATATTGATCCTTAATAGTCAGCGATTTAGTTCTGCATTGAATTTAAGGACAAAGGTTATTCCAATCAATTTAAGACTAGCTCGGGCATTGAATTAGATACACTTTAGGCATGGAAAAAAGAAGCAAGCTTTACAGTACAAAAATCTGTCTGAAAGATATTGATGCAAGCTGGTATTGCTAAAACAACACAAAGCACAGTAAAAACTAACAATGGTTTGTTGAGCTAAAGAACAAATTGCAGTGATGAAATAAATGGCAACAATGTTTTGTCTAAATTGTTCATACTGAAGGACTGCTTCATGCAAGTTAAGGAGACCACAAGGGTGGACATTCTCTATGTCATATCCTAAAATTTTATGAGCTCTAAAGTTCTTTGTTCATGGTAACACTTCCTAAATCATTTTTAATCTTTAGTTAAGGAATAAAAGTCCCAACCTCCAACAAGGACAAGATATAATTTAAATCACTGACCTTCAAAGTTACCTATAACTAAAGCATCACAATTTCTACAGCATATTTTCCAAATAAAACATAATAAGTCAAAATATCAGTGCCCATACCATACCAACTGTTCTGTAATTAAGTTAAATTTGTGAAAAACAAAATGAATCAAAGCATTCTTCCCTAATCTGAAAGCTGAAGCTCACAATAACTTAGCATATCCACGTGGAACAACAAATATATCCTCTGATATGCATAAAGTACCAATTTTTATTTTCTTTCACGAAGCAAAAATGGCATTGAATAATCCCATTAGAGCGACATAGAGAAACCATTTACTGAGAGAGACTGAGTACTCCAATTTGAAGGCTAATAATCAGCACCAAGTCAAAAGAGAAACCATTTACTGAGAACTCCAAATTAATCTCACTCGCGTACCCACCTCTCACAGGAGCACGTGCGCTGATAGCCCAACACATAGGCTTTTTGAACCCTTTTTTTTTTGTGTAAAATTTTTGAACCTTTTTTTCCTGAGTTATGGGAATTTGGCCAAAAAATAAAAAGATGGACATTGCAAAGGTTTGGTTCAAGTTCAGGGGGCAAAGTGAACCTTTTTCCATTTTATATCATAGGCTTCGAGAAGAGGCTAAATGCATCAATCATCAAGAATGAGCATGCAGAACTCAAATCATACATCTAATCATCCACTTGGCATTATACTGAAATCTACCACATAAAGAAAATAGTTACTCACCTCTTCTTGAAATCTCTGAAGCATGAGACGCTTCTGTTCGAGATCAGTGGAGTAAGGATCCAACTGACCCTGACCCAATATAGGAGAAGACCATGTCTGACCCTTATCTCTTTTTTGCAGGGTCAAGTGCATTATATCATCCTCTGCAAACAACACCAAGCCCCAATTAATCCACAATTGTTATTATAAATTGTCAATATGAAACAAATAGCAAGACATTGCAGTTTATGCTAAATCCAAATGGAATACGACTAGTATACTTGACAGAATTAAAGGAATTAAACAGTAGAGAAATAAATAGAGTACCTAAAGTCCAAAAGGAAGAATCAGTCTTCACTGGGCAGAAGAGGTCATGCTGAAAAACCAAAAGAAAAAAACGTACTCCATATCAATCAAGAAACTAAAAGAATAAAATAAAAATATAAGGAATTAGAAAAAAAAAATGAAACAAAAGGAAAGTGAAATAATTGAACTGACATTGAGATAAGGAGGGTTGCCCTTGATGCCGACTTCAATATGTTTGGACTGAATCTTGCAGTAGAACAACTTTGGATGAACATTTGGAGGTAATTTAATGTAAATATTAACCTCGTCTAGGGTTTGATCCCATTCAAATACAGATTGGCCTAATCAAGAAAAAACAGATCAAAATGAAAATGAAATTTCGACAAATTGATAATCGTACAAGAAAATAAGATAAAGAAAAGAGAGGAAAATGAGATAAACAGAGACCGTTGTGGATGAATTGGTGGCGCTTCTCTGGAGCCAATTTCTCTGCCATCTCAACGCTTAGGGCTTTGTCTGTTTGTTTTCTCCCGACTTAACTAACTTTCTTTCGCTTCGCGCGGATTTTGATAACTTTCTCAACCTCTTGAAACTTCTATTCCCGAAATTCCTTCCTTGATTTTCACCGCACACTCTCCTGGTAAGTTTTGCTGTGCTAGTTTCACTTCAACAGCAATAAATATATAATTTATTTATTTAAAATTTTAATATTTATCCATATTTTTTTTCAATTTTATCTATATTTTTATATTTACATTTATATTTCTCTCTTCTATCATTATTTTAATTATAATTAAATTAAAATTTTTACTACACACATAATTAAATATTTTTCATTAGAGAAATGAAAAATAAAATGGAAGTATTATTCTAATAGTGGTGCAAGTATTACAGTAAAATTAAATGACAGGCTTTTAATTTTGAAAAGGACAATTTAGGCATTCTATTATGTATTTTTTAAAAATTAACATATTTCAATTATTTTTTTAATTCTTATAAAAAATATTAATGTTAATATAATAGTCTGATTTTTCTTTTCGTGTCGGTAATAGTGATTTACCGGTTTGTGAATAGTACCATCGGTCCGGGACTTGGTATTATTTTAGTCCGGAAAATAATATAATAAGTCTGAATTTTTCTTTTCGTGTCGGTATAGTTGATTTACCGGTTTGTGGTTTGTGAATAGTACCATCGGTCCGGGACTTGGTATTATTTTAGTCCGGAAAAATTACTATGCATATTTAATCTTTTATTTACTATTTTTAGAGCATGTTTGCATGATTTAGGCGGGTAGAAAATATTTCATGAATATTATTGGAGAATTTATGTATTAAATTAATATTATTTCTAGTGTGGTATATTAAGAAATAAATGAGGAATTCTTGTAGTGAAGTTAATTTAATTAATTAGTGGAGTGACATTATAAGTAGAAGAGAATTATTTGAGGAATATTTAAAGCCATTGAATGAGATTACTTAGGACTTGATCTTAGCCACACATTTGGCATTAAATGAGGAAGTAAAATTTGACTTTTGTCACCTTAAAGTTATCACCCCACCTAAAAGTAACACTTTCTCTTTCTTCTCTTCTCCTTCTTCCAACGTCATTTCATCTTCTTCTCTCCTTCATTTCTTCATTTTCTTACCTCCAAATTACCACCAAGCTACCTAATTAAACCATGGAATAGTACTAAATTTCTTAAAGAATTAAGTAGTATGAATTGAACATTTTCTTCATTTTCTTACCTCCAAATTACCACCAAGCTACCTAATTAAACCATGGAATAGTACTTAATTCTTAAGAATTAAGTAGTAGAAGTTGAAATTGGTGATTAGAGTCGGGCGTGACAGTTAAAGTGGAATGAAGTGAGTAATATTTTAAACAATTTAAAAATAATGCAGTTTTATCAATTGGTCTTCTTTAGTAAGAGATATTCAATTACAAAAGTTTTTACTAATTTAATGGATAAACATAACGGTATTCTTTTGCTCGTTAAACCTCTTGATGTATTAAAAATAATTGAGCTTTGGATTAATTAAAATTAATTATTTGGAAAGAGAGCATTTGTATGCTACTATAACAATTCTAATACTAAGATGTAAATAAAAAATGTATTACAATACAAAAGCTTTTCTTAATAATTCAATTACAATTTTGACTTGGTCAAATCACATCTTTAGAACTCAGTTCAAGAAATTTATGCCTCTCTTTTATTTAATACTCACCTCAAGTTGAATATATATTGCCAATGTTCAACTTACTCACTAGTGTTTGAATTGTGTTGAATGTAGGGAGCTCAGTAAAAAGATCTGCTAATTGTTTTTTGGATTTTAAATAAACAGATTGAATGACTGCAAGCTGAATCTTCTTTCTTATAAAAGAAGTAAGATTCTCATTTTGATTGATTTTGAAATTTTATATTTTTAAAAAATTTTTGAAAATGTGGATTTCATTCATATTTATTATAAGTATAAGATGTAATCTCTCTCGAACATAAATCATTAAATTTTTTTTATTTTTCTAATAAAGTATATTTTTTAGAAATCAAATTTTTGTTTCTACCCTCGTGAAAATTGAAGTAGCTTATCTCTCCAATTGATCTCCCTAATTATAAAAAACTTAACGAGTGGAAGGTTGCACAGGTTAGGAAATTTTATATTAGTTTTTTACTGCATTGGGCTGAACTTAGTGAAAACACCAAGCCCAAAAACTAGGCCCAACTAAAACAGAGTTGGACGTGTCCCAAGTCCCAACTCCCAACTGCCATAAAAACAAAGAAAGAGAGTTCAATCATACGGAACAAAAAAACATGGAATACAAGGATTTAGTATATCTCAGTTCAAGCCATCATAAATCATTTTCACTTCAATCCTGAAGAAGGAAAAAACATCATATGTTGGATGGTAAGAATAAGGAATGACAGAGAAAGAGAGAGAGAGAGAGGTTCAAGTGTGGAAATTTCCTCTCCAAAACTGGACTATTTGTTTACAAACACTTACACACCAATCATATTATCAAATGGCGTTTTATGCTTTCGTCCTTTATTGTTATTACATTACGTGCATTTTGCATCAGATACTTAAAAAAAAACGACAGCCGTTTGATTCTTTTACAGAGGAGGCCTTGAAAATTCCACGAAAGTTCTACCATTTCTTATAGAATATATATTGCCCAATGTTTGTACAATTCTTTCTTTCTTTGTTTCAGTATCAAAATTCGTACAATTAGAGAAACACACATATATCTAACAGTTTCTTAGAAATCTTGCGTTTTAGACAACTATTTAACGTTTTAGGTTTGGTTCCTTCTAACGTTCATTAATTAATTCTGCAGAGCTATTCATGAAAAATTTAGTTTTATTTGGCTTTTAATTAATTAGTCTGCTAATAAATATTAATAAATGTTTGCTTAATGTTACTTAAGTTATACAAGTAGTATATCACAAGTTCAAAACTCTAATAATATTTTAATTACCTTTTTTTTTTGGTATATATACATGTTTTCATATTCGGCCAAATTGGTATTCAGATAAAATTCTTTCAATATCAACGATTTTGCTTGATTAAAAATTTTTTGAAGATAGCAACCCCTTTGGAAGCTAATATAAAATGGAAATAGCCAAGAACCGGACAATTGCTTCCTCAAGCAGAAAAAAAATATAATTCAAGGCTTAGCTTATAACAGAAAATTCATGTATAAAAACAAAATTGTACAGGAATAAATTCATGAAACTTAATTAATTATGAATGACGAATTTATCAGGAAAAAAAATATTAATCCTCTACATAAACTGCCATTACTGTTACATCAACTTGTAATTCAATTAAAGGAAGTTTTTAAACAGCATAAATTCTACTTTATTTGATCATTTAAGAGAAATAAATAAAATAAGATCTATATATTTTCTAATCCCTCTCAAGAAAATATCTCCATCTTGCTTGCAATAAGCATAATTATTAGCTGAGTATACTTTTATGGCTGTTAATAAACCCTAGACAGACCAACAAGGTGTTGTTAGGGTGGTAAGCGATCTCAATTCCCATAAGCGTGAGAATATATGTTTTATCTCGGGAAGTATATTTTACTGGAAGAGTCAAAAGCCTTTGCGCTCTAACGCTCTCGGAAGATTAAGAGGTTATACCAAGAAAAAGGAAACCCTAGATAGGTGTGTTATTACTTACCGGGTATTTCCAGTTTTAATCTAAGTGCTTTATACAAGAAATTAAAGAATATCAATTGTTGCCACCTTAATACTCAATACTAATTACGTGGAGTTTCATGCAAGAATAGAAACAAGCATGGAAAATTCCAGGAAACTGCTTTAACATATATACAAATGGCATAATATAACTTTGTCTATAAACTTATTCTTCTTATATATATAAACACAATAACAAGCTAAGTTCTTGTATAATTTCCTTAACAAAATAAATGCATGTACAGAAATAATTAAGATTAGATTATATTTTTTCAGTATCAGTAGTTCAAGTTCTGCAACTATGGACTACTCACGCTACACTCATGAGGAGGTTTCAGACATCGAAAGTGGAAATATTAATGCTCCCCTCATGAATAATAATAATAGCAAGGAAGTGGTGGTTTTGAATGGAAATGGAAGAAGAGCACAGAATGTATCGTCTTCTATAATGCGTAAGAAATCCGACCCAGTTCTTGTTTCAAGTGTTCGGTTTCAAATACTTAGGCATTTCATGGCTAATCTTCAAGAAGTCATTCTGGGAACTAAACTTGCTGTGCTCTTCCCTGCCATTCCTCTTGCTATTGCTGCTGATTTTTATAGATTTGGTCGAGTAAGTTTCTACCTTCTTTTCATCATATTCATGCCTTTCATTTTGTATAATAGATTTTTGTTTTTTTTACTATGTTTATTGCCTATTAAAAATGATTTTAAAGGTAAATTTAATATGTTTAGTCATAAACTGCTTTATGAGTTGTTCTTTTGTGAACGCTTTTGGGGAGTTCAATATAAATACTAATTTATTATTAACTTTGTTTGTTCATCCACTTAGCCATGGCTATTTGCTTTGAGCTTGCTTGGACTCACCCCACTTGCAGAACGTGTCAGCTTCCTCACAGAGTAAGCCTGAAATCTATAGTATATAACTAGCGTTATACCCATGCTATGCATGGTTTTAATATATAATTTTTTTATTAATTATAAATTTTCTCAATTATAATATTATTAATATATAATTTTTTTATTAATTATAAATTTTCTCTCAATTATAATATTATTAATTTTATTATTATAATATATGTATAATTTTATTTGAATTTGTTGCTCTATTCAACTAATCTTTTTTGAAAATGCAAATAAATTTAACTGATCTAAACTAATTATAAATGTCTCAACTTCGAAATTATTTAGTGAATTGCAATTTAAAAATTTAAAATTAAAAAAAATGTATTATAAAGCTCCCATTGTGAAAAACATATTCTAGCTATAGTTATTTAAAAACTATATTTAAAATATTGTTATATATATCATATTATCATCACATTTACTAAGCGATTTATTGTGTAAAATGTTTATTTAAATTAACTTTAAATGACTTGAATTGAAATCAAAACAAATATTTTATTTAAATTTAATTTTTAAAATGACTGAATTTGAAATCCAAAACATTAATTGATTCTTAAATAAAAATCCATTATTTAATTTATTAAACTGGATTGTTTGATTTAAATTATATTTAATGTAAATTAATTTACAAGAATAGAAAAAATTAAAAGATGCAATCCTATTTTGGTTATGTGCTTATATATTTGTGCATGTACATATATAATTTAATTAATACTTTTGATTTTTAATATTTTAATATATTTATTATATATTATCTTATATCTCTGATTTGTAGATAAATAATTTTAGTAAACTTTGCAAATGTTATAAAATTTTAATTTATATAAATACAATAGTTATTAATATTATATAAATCATTAACTTATGATATAATAAACCATTTTTGAAATATTATATAATTAATATAATAATAATAATAAATAATAATAATAATAATAATGTTACAAAATTAAAGCATTTATGCTTTAATTTATTATGCTTTAATATATAATAATAAATTAAACATTTAATTTATTATGTCTTAGCATTTATGTTTTGCATTTATTTACAAATTAAAGCATTTGGGAATCATATGTGCCATAACTTTTAACTTTTCTAATCTTTAGTGGCAATACATAGTAATTCCACTTAGCACTTTCTAGGGAAGAGATGTCTGCTCTTTATATATATATATATATATATATTGATTTTGTTTCACATATAAAAAAAAGTAGGGGTTGCTGATACTCTTTTTTTTTTTTTTTTCTTTTTTTTCTGATTTTATAATTTTTCTGATTTTATAAATTTTCAGACAATGCATACTTTACTGCGTCCTTCCAACATGGTAAACGAAAACTGATCTTCTCTACTTTGAGTAATAATTAATAATTTATAATTAAGTTTTTGCAAACCTTTTTTTTTTTTTTCTGATTTTATAATTTTCTGATTTTATAATTTTCAGACAAATTGCATACTTTACTGGTCCAACAGGTAACGAAAACTGATCTTTCTACTTTGAGTAATAATTAATAATTATAATTAAGTTTTGAAACCCCATAATATTAATTATTAGAAATATTGTTGAAATGCAGTTGGTGGGCTTCTTAATGCAACATGTGGGAATGCAACAGAAATGATAATAGCATTATTTGCTCTTTACCAAAACAAAATACATGTTTTGAAGTATTCTCTTTTGGGTTCTGTCTTGTCTAATCTCCTCCTTGTTCTTGGCTCGTCTCTTCTTTGTGGAGGCTTGGCTAATCTTAGAAAGGAGCAAAGATATGATAGAGTAAGACTGATCACCATCTAATATCCTTTTTCCTTTAAAAAAAAAAAAAAATAGTCTTAATTGAATGTTAATTACTTATGGCCTAATAATTTTTTTTTTCGTATTAACAGAAAATGGCTGATGTGAACTCACTGCTACTATTATTGGGGTTATTATGCCACATACTGCCACTAATGTTTAGATATGCCATCGGAGAAGGCATTGTGACTGCTCACTCCACTCTTGAGCTGTCTAGAGCAAGTAGCATCCTTATGCTTTTAGCTTACATTGCTTATATCTTCTTCCAGCTTAAAACTCATAGGCAATTGTTTGAATCTCAAGAGGTGATTAATTAATAATAACAATTAATTTTATTTCCTCTTACTGTGTATCCAACCTGTTAAAAATGTCTTATATATATGGGTTTCCATGGAATTGTAGGAAGGAGAAGAAGAGGAAGAAGAAGAAGAAAAGGCAGTAATAGGATTTTGGAGTGCGTTTTCTTGGTTGGTTGGCATGACATTGATCATAGCATTATTGTCTGAGTACGTTGTGGGCACAATTGAGGTACATTAATTACAATTCTGAATCACTCAATTGTCTTTTTTGAGTATTATTTGAACTCTAAGTTTATGTTCAAGTCAAAGAGTGGAAATTACCAATTAAGCTTGTGAATCAGGCTGCATCAGATTCTTGGGGAATTTCTGTCAGCTTCATTAGCATAATTCTGTTACCAATTGTGGGAAATGCAGCAGAACATGCAGGATCAATCATTTTTGCTTTCAAGAACAAATTGGTATAATAAAACACACTATTTTTCTGATTTAACCCTTAAAAAATTACTTAAAACTATCTACTGTTTCTTGATTTTTTGTTTTCTTGGTATTTTTGCAGGACATTTCTTTGGGTGTTGCACTGGGATCTGCCACACAGATTTCAATGTTTGTGGTAATAAACAATTAGTAACCTAAACATAAAATTATAATTACCAAGTCAAGTAATCTTGTACCAAAAATAGAAAATGGCGACATTTTTTTTTTTCCCTTTCAGGTCCCTTTATGTGTTGTTGTTGGCTGGATCATGCATGTGAATATGGACCTCGATTTCAGTCTTCTTGAAACTGGTTGTCTCGCTTTCACAATAATTATCGTAGCCTTCACTTTACAGGTTTACCCATCTAATCATTTTTACTAATAGTGATTATCTATTTTAATTATTTGTAGGATTTAATTATAAATGTGATACAATTCTGTTAATCTCAGGATGGAACTTCACACTACATGAAAGGAGTGGTTCTTTTCCTGTGCTACATTGTCATTGGTGCTTGCTTTTGGGTTCACAAAATTCCCCAGAGTAAGTACTTTTTAACTAAATTATATTTACATTATAATTCAATGTTTTACAAAATTAAAGCCTAATAACCCAGCAAAAAAAAATCTAAATGCCTAATACCAGTCGTTGCTTCTCTTAATATGATTATTTTTTTAATGATTAGGTGAAATTACTGTTGGAAAACCATTTACTGGAGTATTTGCTGCTTAGCTTGGAAGTTCATGAAGCATTGGAAACATTTAATCGGCTTTTTGGTAATTCGAGATTATGAGTGGTAGAGCTATTAAAAAAAAAAAAAAGGAATTGGAAGTTTTTGGAATTAATGGGAATTGAATTCCACGAAAGAAGATGGAAGAAAATGTTTTGTATATAACTCTGTTTTGAATTTACGTCCTTGATGATAATAAGGGTTTTGTTACTGATTATAAGTTTAAAACAGTAGCAAAAGTGGTAATGGAATTTTATTTTTCATTTTTTTTTCCTCTTTCACTTGTATTTTGTTAATTAAGTGATTATTGCAATGTAATGACATGAATAATCAAAGAATGAAGAAGAATTCTTTTGACTTATCTACTTCCATTTTTACACCAACAGTTTGAACTAGTTTTGGAGTTCAGTTCTCTCCTTAAAAAATTCTCATGTACACAACATATGGTTCATGCATCCTTCAATAGAGAGAATCAAATCAAGATGGACTGTTTTCCAGTAGCTATTAAAAATTATGATGAAGATGGTTCTTCCGATTCTATTGGACCTATGAAACGGTAAAAGAGGGAGGGAGAGCAGACTTTCCATTCCCTACGAAAAATAAAGAATTGTTAATTTTGTAATTATCAAGAAACCTTGTTCTTGTAGGCATATACAGCCACTAATAAGCATAGGGAATGTAGCTTGGACATCTGTGGACAAAGTTAGAGATAAAAAAAATAATATTTAAAGCTTCATTGCGACCATATCACCGGCACATTAACGGCCAGAGGTCACAATCTGCCGGTAATCAACCCATCCTCTGCTAATCTTTGACGCCGCAACGCAACTATGAGCTACGTTACCATGTGCTTCTCTCTAATTTTATAATATTCATATTTATATATAAATATTTTACTTTTAACATCTAAAGCAATCGATTTAAATAATGGCGTTTCCTATCTTAATTATCAGTACCCAATTATTGACTCGCAAAGGAACAGGACAACTCGTTCGGTTCATAATTTTGCGATTAACACTATTAGAAATAAGGTCCTCGAAATTCTCTATATATAGCTGCTTCAAAGTTCATAAGTTGGTCATGAGTTGTGTGAGAATGGCAGCTAGAGAAGAACCCATTAAAAATGTGGCTATCATTTTTGGGGTTACTGGGCTTGTTGGGAGAGAGATAATGCGAGGATTACTCGCAAAATCAAAATGGGAAGTTTATGGTATAGCTAGAAGGTTTGAGAGCTTTCCTATCAAAAATCCCAATTACCACTTCATTTCATGTGACTTGCTCAATGCTAAAGAAACAGAAAAGAAGCTGTCTATTGTGCAAGATGCGACTCATGTATTTTGGGTTACTTGGACAGGCCAATTTCCTCTAGACAGTAAAGAATGTTGTGAACAGAACAAGATCATGATGTCCAATGCCTTGAATTCTATTCTCTCTACTACAAAGACATTAAAGCATGTTTCGCTTCAAACGGGAATGAAGCACTATTTATCACTACAACAAAAAGATAATAATGTCGAAAGAGAAGTTTGCTTATATGATGAGGATTGCCCAAGAGCAAGCCAGGGGTATAACTTCTACTACGTTCTTGAGGACTTGCTGAAGGAAAGACTAGCTAGTAATAAGGTGGCTTGGTCTGTTATAAGGCCAGGCTTGTTGATGGGTAGTTCTAATAGGACTTTGTACAATGTGATGGGTAGTTTATGTGTTTATGGAGCCATCTGTAAATACTTAAATCTTCCTTTTGTGTTTGGAGGGACAAGAGAATGTTGGGAGGAAGTATGCATTGATGGGTCCGATGCTGTGTTAGTAGCTGAACAGCATATTTGGGCAGCTACTAATGATGAACTATATTCTACAGATGGTCAAGCATTTAATTCAATTAACGGCACAAGTTTTACTTGGAAGGAAATCTGGCCAATTCTTGGAAAGAAGTTTGAAGTACAAGTGCCCAAGAACATGTTCTTGAAAGATTTCTGGTTTGAAAAAGCAATGAGTGACAAAAATAAAGTGTGGGCAGAGATTGTAGTAAAGGAAGGATTAGCTGAGACAGAAATGGAAGATTTGGCTAATTGGGAGTTCATAGACATATTGTTTCGTTGTCCGATGAAAATGCTAGGGAGTCGAGCAAAAGCTGACCAGTTGGGTTTTACCATGAGATGCAAAACATTGGATTCAATCCTGTATTGGATTGATTCAATGAGGGATGACAACTTAATTCCTTAGTATTTACCCCTTTTAGAGCTTTAATTTGGATTTTTAATTTGGAAAATGTCATTCTGTTTGACTGCTCTGAGTTGTTTTGTTTTCTCTTTGTTTATGAGATATGAAGATCATAAATATATAATATATTTGTTATTTATTAAAGCATCTAGACTAGAATCGAAGATGCCTCCCTTGTTCTCCAACTAAGCGCCCACAACTTCTTACTGGTCTTTGCCTTGAAGTGAGAGGCGTCAACTTCAATTTGATTGATCATTTGCGAAACCTATTCTTATGAAGCAAGCAGAGGAGCTGCGCTGGCTTCTCCATGTTTTGGGTGCATTAATTGTATCGGGTAAGGACTTTATCTTGTCTCCCTTTCGGGATGCATTTCCTGCATGCCACCTAGGTTCAATACTTCTCTTTAGCTGTACTCTTATTGAGAAAAAAAAAAAACCAATAAAAATAATAACAATAGTAGAGAATGGGAAGTGAGAGACAATGCCACAAGATTTCAGTCTTTAAATTCAACTTTCGATTGGTAGAAACACAGTATATTTTTCTTGGTTTTCAGAAGTTCTAGTGGATTCCTTACGTTCCAAATAACAAGATTGCCAAAGAAAATCTCTGGCCTCATGGAAAAGATGTCAAGAAATTAAATTTCATCTTTCCCTATAAGCATATCAAATTTGCCAGTAAACAACTGGAAGATTAGTAACCGTAGGTGCATAATGAGCAGTCCCTACCAGTCTCTGATCAAGTTCCACCAGAACCTTGTGAAAACCTGTCTCAGGATAATAAGCAGACCCCTTAGGTTGGATTGGCTTGTAACTCAGCTGACATGGAAGGCTTCAGTGCAAAATCTGCATCATCATTATTATCATTAGGAGCACAAGGCATGGAGAGGGAACTGATAACAACAAAACAAACAATTATAAATGACAGTAAAAATAATTGTACCTTATTGTTAGAGTCAAATTATCTCAAGTAGGGCCATATGTTTAAACAAATCCATTCCTCATCTTGTCTGGAAGTTAAGGACTTTCACAGAGATCGCAAAGATAGAAAAGAAGAAGACACAGAAGGCAATGAGCACTGCGACTGAAATTCCAACCATATAATATTCAAAGCCATAATTGATCTTCAAATACTCTTTGATAGAGCCTTCAAATCCTGGTCCTATTATTTTGTTCTCTGCATCACCAAGCTGAGAAGTGATAATCCCCCTTAAGGTCCAAGCAATGGGATTGATGTAATGGAACCAGATCCACCATGCTGGGATTCTCTGAAATAACATAGGAAAAGAAGTTAAAGAAATTTATGAAAATGGCTAAGATGAAAGATTTATGAACCTTGCAAAGGTGCAGCTACATATCTATGGAGAGTGTTAATATTAATTAGAATTACATTTTTATCCATTCCATGTTAAGTTAGGTCCTTAAACCAGTAAATTATGTCCTTGATGGAAAAAACATTACTTACTGGCTTTGGGATAAGAAAGCCCGAGAGGAGATTCCATAATGAATAAAATGCAGAGGAGATAACAGCCGACATGTGTTGAGAAGGCGTAAGGCCAACTGCCATCATGCCATAAAATGTGAAGTAGGTGAAAGTAAGGAACATGAACACCAAATAGAGGAAAAATTTGCCTGCAACGTAAGAGTATCCGTATCAGTAATTTTTCAGCATTCTTTAATTTCCAAATTGCAAGCTAGCATTAGAAAAAAAAAATCTGTTCTGAATACATACATAAAAAAGCAATATAACAAAAATAAATAATGCACATTAGATTATCTCAAAACTACCATCAGCAATTGAGACAAAATTGCACACTTTCATAAAGATTCAGAATACTAGTGGAAGGTACCTATGAAAACCTAGGCAATGTTCACTACATGGGATGGAATGAAAAATGAAATCCAAATTCTAAACTCCGTTGTTAACTAGCATAGTAAGGAGGGAAAATAGGAATAAGAAAGGAATAGCGGTTTTTTTACTCCAAAAAACTAGATATGCACTTTTTTCTTTGCAAAATATCAAACATTTCCTCATCATTTCAGCATTTTAGTTTTTTGATGATTTCCCATTCCATTCTTTCTCTTATACTATAACCAAACAAAAGAATAGAACCAGAACTCCTATTTCATGCTGCATACTATATATATATATATATATTGCCATTCTCATTCCCTTCAATTCCTTATTCCATTACATAGCCTTAGAATCTTACCAGCTTTAATTTCAAAACCAATCATGAAATATGTGATGAAGCCATACAAAATTGTCTGCATAAGGATGTATGGAATCTCCACAAGACCCTGTCGACAAGAATACTTAAATGTATCATCACCAACTTTTTTCTGCAAGAACTATATCCCACCAGAATTTCTTTGGCACAAAGGAACTTACCTGCGCTAACGCATAGGCTAATGGAGAGTACATTCCAGCTGCTCTTTCTCTGTAGAACACTGTCCTCTCAACCGAAACTATTGGCTGAACCGAGGATGCATTACTGACCCCAAGAAACAGGCAGGCAGAATAAAGTGCTCCCATAACCATAAACAAATCTTGAGTTGAATTTCTAATAATAAAAATTAAATTAAGTGGTTAATGCCTTCCATAAACAATTTCACCATGAGATTCATGCTCAAATGGAATGCATGTAAATAACCGTGCCAAACGTTGTTAGAAAGAGGTGAAGAAAAGATCGGAAAAAACTTTTGCTCTCTATTAACTTTTTTTGGCCTCTGCTTTCCTTTCAGTTTTATCACATTCAGATGGAAAATGGAATATGCCATCAACTTCCAAAAAAAAAACATTATTATCATAAGTGTGCCAAAACTACACCAAATGCGATAAGTCCAAAATATTGAATTTTGTCACACAAAATATCTATGTTCTCCAGCAACCTAGGACTGTTGTCTTCAGAAACTTAATAAATTTCTAAATGATTGAGGGAGAGAGAGAAATGGAAAGGGGAGGGATGGAAGAAACTTTCCCAAAGGAAAAAAGAATAAAAGCACAAGATAAAACTAAGATGATCATAAACAAAAGTGATCCACATGAAGACTTTCAATTTTCAAAGTTATTCTCAGAAAAAAGGATATTAATGGAAATTTACCTTCTTGAACCAATCTTCCAAAATACCGAGCCTAAAATCAATGCAGCTAGCATAGTATACAACAGCCTCACTGTATTATACCGTGGACTTCTCCAATATACAAGATTTTGTTTCCTAAGACAAACCCGAAATTGAGTTTGGCTATCTTGTGCATAGGTGGAATCAAATTTTAATGGGTTTGAGTTTGCAGGCGGGGTACTGAAATGCATAATTGACTCTTCCACCTCCCTGAAAAAAGGTCAGAGGACTCACTCATGCAAATAAACAAAATTATAAGAATAAACAAGATGGAATTTCACACTTCTTGCTTGCAGTTTACCGATGTATCAATTGGATTACCTGTATTGCATAGAGCTTTTATATAAATCAGCAAAATCTTCTCCAATCCTCTCTTCAACAGCAGGTGTAGTGACCTCAAGCATCCATGTTGCTGGGTTGTAGCCATCAGGGATCTGAGGGATTCCGTTAAATCCCTAGACAAGGATAACGAAAGTGAGGACTTTGTGCTGTTCCCTTGAATAAGTTTTGATGAATAGACAAATTAATCTTATTCAAATATGATAAATTAGTGTGAATATTATAGCAGAAGTCCCAAATTACAAGTTACAATTTTTTTTTTTTTTTTTGAGTAAACAGACTACTAGGCATCACTATAACAAGGTCCTCACTAGCTGTAAGACTCAAATGAAGACATGATCATTAGTGAAGCCTAAAAAGCATAGCTTGAAGAACTAATCCTAGGCGATATCCAAAATTCATCTTGGATAAAACTTAGAAGCCAAAAGTTGTCATCCTGGATTATGCAATTATACCTGAAAATAGTCTATCATAATTTGTGAATGCACTCCAAGCTTCCCTCCATATATAACCTGGCCCCCACGTTTCATCAGAAGTAGCTGAGCATTAAACCCAAAGATTATACACTTGAAAAAAAAAAAAAAACTAATATAATGCATTTAGAGTTTACAAATTTTTGTACGTTGTGAAAAAAATGTAATCTAACCTCATCAAATGCTTCAAAAATGTCAATACTTGGTTGATGAATAGTGCACACTACTGTTCTTCCAGTATCAACCGTGTTACGAACAGTTCGCATCACAATGGCTGCTGCTCGTGCATCAAGTCCAGATGTTGGTTCATCCATAAAAATAATGGAAGGATTTGCAACAAGCTCAACAGCAATTGTCAATCGCTTTCTCTGTTCTGTTGATAAGCCGGTAGTCCCTGGCAAACCAACCAAAGCTTGCCTAAGGGTATCAAGCTCTACCAATCTCATTACTTCTTCAACAAAATCCTGTAGCACATAGAAATGAGTTTCAGTATAAGGATAAAGACAGATAAACAAGCATACAAGTCTGCCTGTGCGTGTCCAGAAACCTTATTGCACAGCTTACATGTCTTTGTTGTCTGGTGACTTCTTTTGGAAGCCGAAGACTGGAGGAAAACCAGAGAGATTCCTCAATTGTAACCTGAGGAGAATGTATATCATTTTGCTCAACATATCCTGAAACTCTAGCAAACGTGCGTTGTTCTTTAATGTAACCCGATATCTTGATACTCCCTTCTATATATCCCCCAGTTTTTCTGCCAGCAAGTACATCCATCAGAGTAGTCTTTCCAGCTCCACTAGACCCAACTAATGCAGTCAGAACTCCTGGTGAGAATACCCCACTCACATTTGACAAGAGCTGCAACTTCTTTTCAGGGACACCTTGTTTAGTCATTTCCTGAGAGTACGAAAAATATTGTGAGCTATTATGTACAAAAAATCAAGGAAATAAGAACTGGTAAAAAAGCACATCACCTTTGGCATATCGACGAAGTAATTCACATTGTGGAAAGTCATTGTCAATGGTTGAAATGGAAGAATCATTCCTGTCTTTTTAATGCCCTCCTTTGCATATGTTTGATTTGATTCAGGCTTCAGACCAACATTTCCAGCCAAATTTTCTTCCCTGGAATCAACTGGATCAGCCACTGTTTGGGCCTTCAGAATAGCTGTGTGGCAAAAGGAGTTAGCTGGAGCTTTCACTCTTTTTTTTTTCCCCTTATATTTCTAGAAACAAAGAGGGAATTTACAAGCAACAAAGCTTCATTAAAACATACGATTTAGGTAGGTCAAGGCACACGTCACACCGATGTTGAAAATCACTGCGTATAGCCATAGGACTCCAATTCCAATCCAATACCAATCATCACTTGCAGGTAAACTATGCTCACGGAGAACAGTGTATCCAATTGTATTATTTGTAATGGTAGAGTTCTGAAAAATATTACAATTACTTTGTCATAGGTAATATATAAGTACATTAAAAAGAAAAAAAGCAACAGTCAACTGAAAAGTGCATCCTCTATGCGATAGCATAGCACACCTTCATCCACCTTTCAGCGCCAAATTCATTGACTGAAATTGCTCGTTGTCCATACGATAATGGTGAGACCCAAAAAGCCCAAATCCACCAGGGCTTAATAGAATCTGACGCAATAAACAATTAAATCACTAGTTGGAAAATGAACTTCAAATCATCCAATGAAAACAGACGACACACCTTTAGGAATAATAAATCCACCCAATAAAAATATAATCAATAAAGAAGCTGATCCAAACGTATTGGCAATAACCATATCTCGCGCTATCGAAGCCATCATGCGAAAGAGGCCCAGTGCCATTTGATGCACTGTAAAGAGTAAAAACAAAAAACGGAAGAACCTGTAACATAAACAGAAGCTAATGAATATAAGGAAAAAAGAAAGAAGAGAACATCAACATCAAATTCAAACTCGATAGGTACCTGCCAACAGAAGGGGCAAAACCAACAGTGTAGTATACAACACAAGACCATACAAAAGCTTCAACAGCAGAGTATGGTATACGAAGAATAAAACTGGACAGAGACCATGACCATCCGGGATGAAAGAGATTGTCCCGTTGCTTGTAAAAAACTGGTAATCGAAATATCAGTAAGGATAGTTCAGAAAAGCCATTAAACATCATGTGCACCAGCCCAAAAAAGAGGCAAGAGAGATAGAGATTCCCATTTAACTCATCTGTGGGATGCAATCTTGTCCGTAAGAAAACTGTGCAAGTGATGCACCCAATAAAAAAGACCTAAGGAATTAAGAAAATTAAAAACAATGAAAAGCAACGTAAGAATGAATATTGCTAGGGTCAGAGATTTCATATCTATCAATGATAAAATGGCAAACCGTAGGTGTAACTTTCAGTATGAAAAGAATTTCCAAATGAGACAGCTAAAGCAAACCAATAACAATTGAGTTCAAAAGGAATATTGAGTAAATGTCTGTTCGCAGTTCAAAAGTATATTTTTAAGGAGTTGCGGTACATTTGAAAGGTAGAGAGCATTAAGAACGTGTGCTACATAATACGAGACATGCAGACACATCATTCCCAATCACAATCTAAAAGAAAAATGACCATAAGAAACATAAAAGGAAACACGAACACTACCTGGAATGTCCTAAAACAATAAAGAAAACGATGCCGATTGATAAGTAGAATTTCTCGCGCAAAGCATGCTTTAAACAGTTCCCATATTGACACAGCATATCTCGTTTTAGACAAAGCTGAAGGATGACTTTTTGATTTGTCGAATGGAATGGATAGTGAGGATTCCACAGACTTTCCAAATCTAGAATTTTCGAATGCTCTTGCAATTTCTGGAACAGGCATGTATACATATGGTTTTGAAGGATCAGCCCAGTATTGTGCTTGATCCTTTTTTGAAGTGACCTGCCAATAAATCATGTGAGGCAAGAACCAAAGAGAATAACCAAAACCTAGAAACATCTCAAGAAAAATACCTCTTGAAGAAAATCTGCAATGCCCTTGCGTGGTGGTAACTGAAATCCAAGTGACTCAAAGAACTCTAAAACTTCTGCTCTTGGGCCTTGATACACCATGTAGCCTTCTGATAATAGTATTAAATCATCAAACATATCAAATGTCTCAGGTGGAGGCTGCAGAAGAGCCATCAGTACAGTTCCATCCATTTGATGAACAAAGTTCCCTATACATTTCACTATTTGGTATGTTGTGGAACTATCAAGTCCAGTAGATATTTCATCCATAAATAAGGTTTTTCTTGGACCAACAATCATTTCTCCTGCATGATCAGATACCAGTAATTAGAATTTGACAGAAGAATTTACAGAATATACTTATTAACCAAAAATTCAGCCCTATCAAGTGAACCTGTTAAAGTTCAGGGAAAACGATAAAGTGGCAAACAGAGGCACACAGATGAGCACACTAACACGCACGCACACGCACACACATATATACATTATATATATATATATATATATATACTATCAAGGTCCAGTAGATTTATTTTCATACTCTATAAATATTTTTTAGGGTGTCTTCTTTGAGGATCCTTATACATAACACATCATTATCTCTCTCTGACATGTATCAGATATTAGCCAATAGTAATTTAGAGGACTTTTTGAACAGAATAAGAATTTTTACATTAGATATATGACTTATTAAACCAAAATTATATCAGGGCCCTATCAACGTGAACCTGTTAAAGTTTCAGGGAAAACGATAAAGTGGCGAAACAGTAGGCACACAGATTGAGCACATTTTTTTTTTTTTTCACTTGATTACTTTTACGCTATAATCCGCTAACATCAGCACACACATATATTACATTATAATATATACTTATTAAATATTTATTAATTTTTATTATGAGAGAGAGAGTGAGAAGAGAGAGAGAGAGATGAGAGAGGACGAGAGATTTACCTAGAGGTAATCCCCTTTTGTTCTCTTATTAGACTCACACTGTAGACACATTCTCATTTTCATTAGATCACTAACCTACCTATCTACGTTCACATTCTGAGCTATTTACATGCAGATTACCTAATACGGCAATTTTTAAGACGTAATCAAGTTGACCAACACTTGTGCTTTTTTAACCTGATGACAACAGAGACTGCCCTTGCCACATGAAAGTATTAGTGAAAGATTAAATTTCCGGGATGACATTATGCATGTAAACTAAAATCCGTAGATTACCCTAATTTGATAAATGTTGCAATAATTATATTTTAAGGAAGAATAAGAGAGAGAGAGAGAGAGAGAGAGATACCAGAGGTAACCCTTTTCCTTTGACCACCTGAGACACCTCTCATCATATCACTACCTACTATTGTCTCTGAGCATACATCAAGACCAAGCAATTTTAAGACGTAATCAGTTGAAACACTGTGCTTTTTACCAGCAACAGAAGACGCCTGCCAGTGAAAGTATTGAAAGATTAAATCCGGATAGAAACATATGCATGTAAAAAAAATCGAAGATACAGAAATGTTCAATTAAGAAGAATAACCTTCATAAAAGCATCAATCTCTGGACTTGGACGTATGTTCTTTTCCTTCTCTAGACGGAGAAGATCTTCCATGTAGGCTGAAATTAGAAGTTGCAAGGAATTATGGAGAAAAACGGACAAAGTTACTAAACTACGTCTCCATGATAATTCATGCAAACTAAGCAATAAGTATTTGATTATATTAGTCTAGTCTGTGAGTATTCAGATTAAGCATTAGTTATTTTCTTTTTTGTGGAAGTTATAGATTTATCATTTGGTAGGGAGCTTAATGAAGATATGATGCAACATAATATCAAGAACCGCGAGTCCTTCAATGCAATACTCACTAAAAGAACAATATGGAAAATGGCATTTATATGGTAGCAGCCGACATGTGATACACCTTACAGCAAATTTTCTTTTTAATTTTTTTTTTTTAATTTGCTTGAAAAGGAATAGCATACGTAACATGTTAAAATGTTCTTTTGACTTTCAAGATAGACATACTATGCTAGAATATATCACCAGTGGATATTCCATCAGCAACATTTATAGTGATTTGTGCTATCTTCTCTTTTACAGTTTTATAATAAATCCTAAAGAGACATGCCTATTTTAGAAGTCATTCACCCTACCAACATGTCGTGTCATGCTCATGTAGGGCCAATATATGTCCAACGAAGTAGAAGCACAAGGAAAAGGTAAAACTAACACCAAGATCCCAAAATTGAGGATATAATGACAATTAAAATGTGGATTAAACTTGTAAAAAAAAAAAAAAAAAGGATTAGAATAACCATACTAAAAATTGGATTTTAAGATATTTGGCATGGGTATGAAAGTTGCCTATAGAATTTCAATACTGATAATTTCCCTTAAAAACAAAATTGAAATAATAAAAGATTATAGAAAGCCCAAACTTTCATCGATAGTAACTGTAACTTCAAACTGCGGCGACTCTCTTCCTCCTAGCTATCACCTTAATGACTAAACAAGTATCCTATCACCTAAACATATAATGGAAAAATGACACTGATACAACCTACTCCTTTCCCAGTCAAATCAAGATGTCACATTTGATCATTATGCCTATACTAACAAGAATAAGAATAAGAATCATTGTTATAATAAAAACTGAAAAAGAACCAATTACTCAATAAAAGCAAAGTGCATGTCTTTAAATCAAGAAATCTAATAAACTTTTCAAAGAAGCAACAAACCTGCAAAGCTTTCACTTGCGCCTTGGCAACTAGCAGCAAAATCTAAGGTTTCCCGGACAGTAAGCTCTGCAATGTGGTTATCTATTTGGCTGATGTATGCAGAAGTCCTTTTAACATAAAACTCATCAAGCTTGTGCCCATTGTATGTAATATTTCCAGATTTCTGAAATATTAAATTCCGAATTATGTTTGCACTAATATTACTATAGCAAAAAAGGCAAGGATGAAAGTGATACAGAGTTATCCTTCATTGGAAATTAGCCAAATGATACCCCTCTGCTTGCCCTCTCCTTTTTTTTTTTTTTTTTTTTTTTTTTTTTTTTTTTTTTTTCATGGGCAAGCAAAATGTCTGCACATGACCTGTACAAGAATGCCAAGTAAAGCGTAAGAGGCTTTTTTTTTTTTTTTTTTTTTTTTACTTTTTTTGTTTTCATTGGGAAGCAAAATGTTGCAATGACTGTACAAGAATGCCAAGTTAAAGGTAAGAGGTTTCACGCAATCACGAGTTTAACCAATCTTTTGCTATTTTGTGGCAATGCAATTAGACCATTATTCAAAATAGTCTAGTTTTCCATTTTGTTATAGTCTTATAAGCAGATTAACTTGCAGAATTACGCAAGAAGCCACAGGTTGAAATTTTCCCCGCTTTCTACTGAGAATAGTGGTTAAAAATTGATTAGGCCTTAGTAATTATGGAAAAAGAAAAGAATTAGACTAAACTGAAGTACCCACAAGTATCATCAACATGTCATCTAATCTAGTTTTTACTATTGAATTTGAATATGGGCTCATTGCCAATTCCTTATCTTCTTCTCATCTTATATCATCCTATTTTACCCTCCATAACTTTGGAAGAATATTGCTAAGAGTGAGTTCCCAAACAAATTAATCATGTGAAATGAGAAACAACAGAAAAACAAAATGGCTATTTCATGTTTGGCGAGCAAAAAGCGATTATAATGGAAGCTACATTTGGTAAGTCAAAAAGTTAATGAGCCGCTAAAAAATAAGGTCAATAGAGAGAAGTTGTTAATAGTCATTTATTCATTTAAATTAACGCAGGGGATACCCGTGATATGCTTCTGGATATAATTGCAAGGAGAAGTACTAACCTTTATATTCTTGGCAAGCTTCCCCGCAAGAGCTAAAAGCAACGTTGATTTGCCAGAACCTGGTGGTCCTAAGAGCAAAGTCATCCTACGAAATCCCAGTACTTAGATAATAAACATGGACTGCTAATTTCATATGGCTTAGTTAACATGTGAAACTAATAAATTATCCAACAGACAAACAGTGAAGCATGCATGCTTTTGATAACTAAAAATGGTTAATTTGCTACCACAAAAAAAAAAAAAAATGGAAATCATTCAAATTAATATCAGATATAAGGTCATCACTACTTTCTTTTTGTCCTTCCTGTGAAAGATGAGTTGATTAAATTATAGAAGCATTCCTGAGATTATTTAGACCACTCCTTTTGTTTTTTCAGACCGCTTTTTGATTTGCTGCTTAAGCCTAATTTTTATTTTAAGGTACAAATAAGAAGTAGCTTTTTGCTAGTTATTAAAAACCATTTCTTAAAGAAAATAATAATAGGAAACAGATATTAATATTTTTTTTTTTACTTTTCAAAAAAAAATTTTTTTTATTATGTACAATCAGAAATACTCTTGTTTAAATAAAAATTATATTTACATTAGTTTCGTCCGTAGGTGGAGCCGTGAACCTTCTCATATCGACCATTATTTTCCTTATACTAATACTATAGGCCAAATGTCATATGCAATATATAAATTTACCAAACGTACGAAGCATTGTAATTACCTTATTTAATTATAGCAAACATTCCCGGAAGATATTTTTAGAAAGTGAAACAAAAATAGAAATGACCAACTTGTAAAGTTATTGACGTTATTCATAATTTGGTAACAGTATATAGTAGTAATATATCTTCTAGAACATTTTCACATAATTATTCCACTCAAATTCACTACGGAATCAATAGTTCGTCATAAAAAATACTATTAATTACCTTCCCGGTTTTATAACACCACTGACATCGTTCAAAATGGTTAGAGAAAGTTTATTAGGATGAAATAGTCCCAAACCAGCCATCAAACCCTGCGTTTTAATCCAGTTATTAGAAATCAGATCAGATGTAACTCTAACACTAAACAAGGCTAAAAAAATGGATATCGTACTAAAAGAAATGAGATGACTCTTAACCTCAATAGTGTCGCGCACAGCATTAATCAAGGTGGGCAAAGCTCTTGAGCCAGTTTGCACTTTAGCCACAAGATTTAGGTGCTCAAACCTTACTTCGACCTTTGGAGCCTCCAATCCAGCACTTTAATGGTCACAAAGAGAAAAATCGGCCAAAAGTTTATTAGAGAGACATTTGAAATTACTGAACATCATCAGTCATCATTCTGGAATTAAAAAATCGAATCGCGTTTTCTTACTCAAACTAAACACCGAATACATAAGTTAAAACAGGTGCGTATAGAAACTCAAAACCCAAAAAAAAAAAAAAAAAAAAAAAAAAAAAAAAGTTTAAAACAGGTGCGTATATAAACTCAAAACCCAAAAAAAAAAAAAAAAAAAAAAAAAAAAAAAAAAATAAAAAAAAAAAAAAACAAAAAAAAAAAAAAAAACCGATAGGCGTTACTTATCGAGGACGCCCTGTATTGATCCTGAAAGGAGTTTTGTAATTGTCTTGGAGTGTTTGTAAGCGCCAAATGCCTTCCGAAACCACAAGCTCTCGGAAATTGGCGCGATCTAGTTTTCGTGACGTCGATCATTTCCATTCGACTTTCTTTCCTCCATGGCCTATAATCCGTTTGAAGGACCCGCCTCAACAAAAAAAAAAAAAAAAAAAAAAAAAAAAAAAACGATAGCGTTACTTATCGAGACGCTGTTTGATTCCTGAAAGGAGTTTGTAATTGTCTTGAGTGTTTGTAGCCAATGCCTTCCGAACCACAAGCTCTCGATTGGCGCGATCTAGTTTCGTGACGTCGATCATTTCCATTCGACTTTCTTCTCCTCCATGGCTATAATCCGTTGAAGACCGCCTCAACAACGAAAAATTGCTTCGCTTCTGCGACGGCAATCTCGCAATCGCTTGCCACTGTAACTCGGCCTCGTCTTCCCTTACCGAATCTGCATTGGATGGACGTGCAAATGACTCTCTTCCAGGATCAATCTGAACCTCCAAGTACTCTGTCCCGTTCAAAGCTGCTGCCATGGCTGGCGTGTTGTCAGGAGATCAGAGAGCGTCCTTCTGAATGGAAATTGTATTCTGTTAAGTAGAAGAGTGGCTTTATAACTTATGACGCGTGTACTGTTGCGAGGGAGAGTGAGGAGCAATCCCGGGAATTTTGAAGGACTTGAAAACGAAATACCCATATTGCCCTTATAGTCTCCTGGATTAGTAGCTGTATTTGTATTTTGAAACGGTAAAAACGAATAGGGTATATTCTAGAAGGTTTTCCATTGTCCAATTGGCAGTTCGATTTCTCCTTTTCTTTCGAATCAGGGAAGCTGACGTGATTGCTGATTATTGGACACACATTTTGCCTTTTCCCCTTCTATAATCAGATTTACTGGTTGTTTGTGAAATGAATTAGTTCATCCAGTCACTTGTAGTTTTTGAGTTTTGTTACCTTTTTTGGTCATTTGGTAATAATGTTAAGAAATTAGTTATTTAAGTGGCATTTTGTTATTTCTTAAAATTTTCATTATATTTTTTTATTTGATTATCTAATTTGAAAAACTTAAATTATAAAACTCTTTATTTTCCTTTTTCAGTAATTTATAAGAAAAAGAAACTCTATTTGGCATTAACAATTCAAACAACCCATTTTATTTCATACAATTTAAGAAAAAATTATTAAGTTAGTTTAGCTATAATGTTTTTCACATAATTCCATATATACCCTAATTAATTCACAAACTTATTTAATAAAATTAAATTATAGTAAAAATATTATCATAGAAAGCACACCAAGATAGCGTAGTGGTAAATACATTAACGTTCTAGCAATTAACAATAATTAACAATCCCGTAATAAATTTTTCATGTGATATTTTATATTTCTTCAATTTTTTATTATTTTAATTAATTATCTCCCAAATTTAAGAAATTCTCATCTAAAAATATAAAAATCTTCATATTCTTTTCTAACAATTAACACACTATAATAACTGATTATTAAGTATATTGAATTAATGAAAAAGCTCTTTATTTTCTTTTCAACGGTTAATAATAAGCTAAACAAAGTTTATTGTATTGTAAAACTTTTTTTTTTTTCAGTAATTACTAACCCCATAATAAATTCATTACATTCATCATTTGATCAACTATACATTTTCTTTATCCCTTTAACTCGTAACAATATATTGTCGTTGCAAATAATGTTATTTAAGAAATAAATGAATTATAATTGTAGAATTCATTTATAAATGAATTTTAAATATAATTCATTTACAGATGAATTTGTCATGTTTGGTATGCTACAATTTAATATAAGAAATTCAATTGAATTCTACAAAATTATGTTTGAAATAAAATTTTAAATGAAAATTTATTCGTCTTTATTTCTTATAACACTTTGACATAATAATTTAACAAAAATAAAAAACAAACACCATTATATTTATTATGTATAATATAATAACTTATTTTTTTTATTAAAATATAAATAATAAATTTTATGTAAATTAGTACACTAATATTCCACACTAATTAACTAATATATAAACAGTAATATCCCTCATAATAATTATTTCTAATTGATGTAAAAAGTTCTATTGATTTAAGTAATTAATTTGAAAATAAAAAAAAAATAAGAATGTTACTATTATTTTTAATTGCATTTAAAAATAATTGCGATTCTCTTTTTTATAATTTCATAATAATAATAATAACTAACGTTATTATTATATTTAAAAAAAAAACATTATTACTGGTTTGAAATTTTTCAAAAAAAGAAAAAAAAAAGAAAAAATATAAACTAATATTACTATTGGACTTAAAAAAAATAATGTTATTATAATTTGATATTTTCAAAGAAAATAAACAAAAAGGGAAAAAAAAGAGTGAAAATAATTGAGTTTATAGTGGAAGTTAATTTTAGCGATAAACATTTCAATAGTCAATTTTATAGAATTCATTTACAAATTCAATTAATTTTAGTAGAATTCAAATCTGTATTTTTTTTCATTTTAAATACAAAATTTTGAATTTTCAAATGAATTCCATAAAATTTTGTGAATTCTTTTGTTCCAAGAGGCTATTAATCTTAATATTCCTCAAATTAGCTTTGGCTCCATTAGCAATAAAAAACTAGAAATAATAGAAATAATAATTTAAAAAGTCCAAGAAATAAAAGGAATCTATTAAAAAGTTTTGTTTATGTTTGTGTGGTTAGCTTGTGATCGAATCAAACACTAAGACTCGCACTAGAATTGTTAAGCTCACCTATGAGCCTTCCAAATTAAAACATGCACTAGATTTATTGGGCTCACCTATAAAGGCAAAGCCCTCCAAAAATTGGCGTATGCCGCTCTTTGCGGCGGGCACACGGTATTCTTTAGTAAAAGGCGAAAGAATAGTTCGCTTTGTGCACACCGCGCGGCTGCGTGAAATTGATTGAGGCTTTCGTCTCTCTTATATAAGAATTCTATTGTGTGGGCAAAGTTTCATTTTACGATGTGGGATTAGCTGCTTTCCTTCCGTCGGCTGTATTCTTGGGCCTGGCTTGCTACACCAAGACACCATTTCATGCCCTGGACAGCCTCTTGATATTACTATTAACATGTTGGGCTCATCAATTTCAATGGACCATATCTTCTCTTTGTAGTTCACAATCCAAGCCACTTATATAACAAATCCATAAGCCATTACACTATGCGAGTTATCCAAGCCTGAGGTTTTACTTTATGGCCGACATAAATTGCTATTTTACTCGCAACAAATATTATTATGTAACACGAACATATACGATTAGACCTCCTGATAAATAAAAATTTGCAGAAATATTTTTATATCTGCATGTACAGTCTACAGTCTAAGAAAAACACAAGCTATTTAGGGAAGGATACCCTACTGGTGCCCTACCACAAAGCCGAATGAACCAAATGCTTCCTCTAAAGTTATCAGTACGGATTACAAAAGGAAGAGCCATTTTTGTCTGCAAGGATAAAATATAGTTAAGTCCTAAATTATATTCAAATTAACATTTAAATCCCTTTATATTTAAAAAATAACTATAAAGTCCTTCCATCTAAAATTGGCTCTTTAAATCCAAAAGGGAAGCATATTCTATTCAAAAATTGTCTAACAAACACACTTATATTTTACTAGCTTTTTTGTGGAGGGATGACTGGCTACCTATATACAGGGTTAGTTGGAAAAGCAAAACTATCAAAATTATGACAAATTTTGAAGATCATCACATTCCTTGGCCTAGCGTTTAACTTTGCGAGGACAGTGAACTGGTTTTGATTGGGATTTTTTCAACGTAGACTTCTTGCCTTTGGATTTGAATAATCCATCATCATCAGAATCATCATCACTTCCACCCCCAAACTTCCGTTTGGACTTCTTCTCAGCATTTCCACAAATAACAATCTGCCTATCTTCCTTCTGTTCTGCAAGTTCAGATTTGTCCTTCGGCTTCCAAATGAAAAGGGACCTGAAAGACAATCTTCATTAGACCACAAAGGAAAGTTGATAAAGGGAACACCAGAATCAACATAAAAAAAACAGAGAAGGGAGGAGATAAAAATTCTCTCCGGTCTCCACCATTGTTTTTCTAACTTATTTGAGACATTAGATACTAGATATACGTTCTTCAAAAGTTAACTATCCAAATTGTCAAAGGGGAGATAAAAAATCCAATGAACTTTTAATGGGAGCCAATTGCAATACCAAAAGGAACTAAAACATATAGGATCTATTTGATTTATTTCTCTAGGATACAAGTATCCTAATAACAAGACAACCTTTAATAATTTGCTTCACGCCACCAACGCGAGGCTGGTATCAAATTTAGCATAGCCGACTTAAGGATAATAATAGTAACCCATCATGAATTCTTAGAAAAAGTAGAGTAAAATGCTCAATTAAGATGGTTTGCTCAAGCATCGCAACGAAGTAGTAGTTGAATATTGGTCTAGATGAATGCACAAAGTTTTGCCACTACAGCATATGAAGTTTGAAAGAAGAGGGTATAACCTTGAACTGCCAGATGCCAAAATATCATCTCGAGGGTGTAGCTTGTTTACAGGAGTAATAGTTGTGATGTTAGGATCCATAACTTCAGCAACTAGTTGCCCATTGCTGGTATCTATGAAATCAATGGGATGCAAAGCAGCACCATTGTAATTTTCACTTATATAACGACCAATAACTGCAAGGGATTCTGAAGGATCCTGTACCAGAAAAGAGTTTAGGTATTTCCAAAGATGAGGGAAAAAGAAAAAAAAAAGAGGAACCCATTACATGCAGCAAATTTCATTACCTTAGGATCCCATTCAGCTCGAAAAGGAGTTAGATGTCTGTTGAAATCATGACTATGTACAATCTCTCGGCTTGGGGAATCCAAATTTCCAAAGATAGAATCCCATACACGAAGACGGTTATCTTGAGAGGTGGTAAGAATTTTGCTCCCAGACAATGGAGAGAAATATGCACAATTAACAACACGTTTGTGCACAAGATCACAAAGAGAAGATCCAGCTTCAAGTCGACGCATATCCCAAATGCGAGCCTGAGGTAAAAGTATTATGCCATTTTCAGAACCACCACAAACAGAACCATGAACAAAAACAATATAAACAAAACATATTTACAGGTATAGATATTTCAAGAACCACTAATGTTTCACACAGGACATAGATAGTATGAGAAAGTTCAAAAAAAAAAAAAAAAAAAAAAAAAAAAACCATTTTTAGAACCCACCACAAAACAGAACCATGAACAAAAACAATTATAAACAAACATATTTACAGGGTATAGGATATTTCAAGAAACTCACTAATGTTTCACACAGGACATAGATAGTAATGAGAAAGTTTTCAAAAAAAAAAAAAAAAAAAAAAAAAAAAAAAAAAAAAAAAAAAAAAAAAAAAAGCTATTAAAAGGGAGGTAATAGAGGAAAAAACCAGGCTGCATATGGTTACACAATGCCAAATTGCTAATCAGTTATAAAATAAAACACAGTTTCAAGCATGTAATGAAATTAATGACTTACAAAATGATCATTTCCACAGCTCAAAAGAAGCTCTGGATGAACTGGATTGCAATGAAGGCCAACAACTTTGCTACCTTTCTTATGGATCAAGATTGGTTGCCCAGTTTTACTGTTGGAGCGCATATCAACTCTGTGCATGCCTCGCACAAAAAAATAAAGTTTACAATAATAAAAACTGAGGCAATATGTTTAGATATCACATAAAGAAAATATGAACACCAAGTAAAAGCATCACACTTTTCCTCATGGGATGAGGTGCTGGTTCTCATTCCAAAATTCATTCCTATTTTTCAATTTCTGGATGCGCTTTGTTCATTCGTTTTTCTCTTCTATGTTAGTTAAATGTTAAAATGGTTATGGAATAAACTGGCAACCTGCAGCCAAACATCTCAAATAATTTTTCTTCTTTTAAAAAAAGCACCACCTTCATTATCTCAAGAAATATTCTTTTTTATAAGTCCAAGCTTTTATGAGTGCTAGCTTCCGAGACAGCTGGTACACTGAAAACCGAAAACAAAAACTAAATGTTCTAACCCACACAACAGCTGTCTAGAACATAGTTTGGGATATAAATTTCAGGCCATATAACAACTATAATGCATGGAATATCAGTTACATTTTTATTGTCCCTCCTCAAAAGTTTGCCCATCAATTTCCTAACATAAATGATACACTGACGTTTTCCCCAGTAGATAGCAATGAACCATCCGTACATAGTTTAAGACTTGCTAACAGTATGGAAACATACTCTTATCTCTC